TCAAAATAATTGAATTTCGTCCAAATTTGAGTTATAATACAAATTTAATTTAAATTTAAATAGTTATCACATTCTATACAAATGCATAATAAAAGCAGGCATTTGGAGATTTGTTTCTCAATCTAAATACTAATTCCCATATAGATGTAGCGAGCATCTTAAAAAGGTACCGCTATGTAAGTATTTGTTAAATTGTAGCAGTACGTCCTTGAATTGAAAGCTCCTCAAAACTCATTACCGTAATACAGTCAGCGTAATAAATACTTGCAAAATTAACTATTCAGAAAACAATCGAACACCAGTTCCGCCGCAGATGTTTGTTTAAACAGATAGAAATGGACATGGTCCATTTGACGAACATCTGTATGTAAGTGAAGATATCTAACGAGCAACATATAAAACTCTCTAAGCAAATTTATTCTTTCTGTATTCCACATGATACAACTCCTCGACAGAAGAGGGAAGAGAAGAGGAAAATTCTTCCGGGGCTGCGGCAGGCCAATGAGGCTCTAAGAGGAGGATGAAGAGACCTCAGTACACCTTCTGGGGAGTGTGATGTTGTCGCTCTTACGAAAAGCAAAATACTGGCGAACTGTGCTCTTACAGCGGTGCAGTTGCGGTGTTCTGGGCATCACAGACTACTCGACTTCGTCAGGAGGGTAGGTATACTCCCGGCTTAGATGGAGGGCACAATATATCCTTATAAGCGGTTGCGGTACGCTGTTACTTCGATTACAAAATCTACAATCTACAATAAGCAAATGTTAAATGGGACCACATAATTGTACTGTTATTGTACTATTTAACATTACGCTATAATATTGAGAGCCGCTGCTATAATGATTAACCTATAAAAAAAGAAACACATTTATGTTAATAGTCTTCAGATTAATAAAAAAAATCTCAATTATTTAGAACAGTCCTTTTCATAACAAATAAAAAATTCTTAGTTTTCAATTTAGTATTTATGCTATTAAAAATTCGGAAAAATTTTTGCTCATGTACATTGTATAAATACATACATATAATATGCATAGCAAACTTTTCAGTCATCATTGTATTATAATTTAAATCATCCATCATTCTGATTCCTCAATTTTTCGTTCAATTGTAAAAGTTTTTATATATTTATATATGTATGTACATAATATATCGAATAATTTTTATAACTTACGTCATAATTTCTATAATATCTTAATAGTTATGGCCAATAACCGCAAATTATGGCAAAAAAATACCAGAGAATAATAAAAATTGATTAAATTTTCATATTGTACTTCAAGAATTTCTAACATTAAATCAGATTTTTAGGAAGGCATGTGAATGAAATAACAGAGTTTAATTACATATTATGTACTTATGTATACTTGATTAATAAATTTAATTTAAGTGAGTCAATAACAAATTTTTAGAATATTAAAATTATGAAATTATAAATGTGATGAGTCGAAGTCATAATTTCACCTGGTCTATAATAATAATATTAGTCTTTAAATTTTGACCTTGCATTCAAATTATAAAATAGTTGTTTTTGTAAATATTTTCATTATTTTATATGTAATACTTATATGTATGATTGAATTATTTAAATATAAATTGAGAAAAATTTTATTTCTATATTCAGTTTGTATTATGCAAATCAGAATAATTTTACGGAATTATAATATGATGAACTTTTAAGTAACTTACTCATATTCTGCATTAAGTGACTACTAAAATAGATTCATGTAATATACAAATAAAATCAATTACAAGAAAAAAAATTCGAATACAATTTAATTTTATATATGCACATACCTATCTAACGCTTATGTTCAATCATGATAAAAACCCTCCGTAATATTCTTAATAATTTTAAATTAAATTTATGCTTAAATATACAATACGCGTATTCATATACATTCATGATATTTTTCATTCTTATAACATTTTATATAACATTTCAATAGTTCAACTAGCTCAATCAACTATATATTTACATTATTATAAATGAAAACACAAAAGAAAATGCGATAGATATTTCAAAGTTGTTGACATGTAAAAAAAAAAAACTTCCATAAATTTTATTGTTTAAGTGCAGAATATTTGTTTAATATAAATGATATACACTTCGTTCTCTTTTTATGCGGTTTTAGATTATGCGGTGCAAAAAAAAAAAATTTATTCGAATTTGGAAAATTTAATTTTTTTGATGATTCACTTTTGCTGAAAACGAAGAAGAATTACAACTACAACTCTACAATTACGCAATCAACACAAAGAAAGAATTATTTTTTTATGCTGCATTAAGTGATGAAAGTGATCTTGCACCAATCCACAAACGGGTTCGCACAATATCAGACAGCGAATAATGACGAAAACATTCTTAATATGATTTTAAATGAAGTTTTGTTCATGTTTTTTTTATCTTTTTTGTGCGATTTATGCAAATTTCCCTGGAACGCATCTACCGCATAAAAAAGAACGAGGTGTACATATATGTATATAAAAATTTAATAATGTATAACCTGGTATAACATCGTGGTATATACATACATATTACTTATGTTCAAGACTTTTATGATATGAGCTGAATAAAATCAAAATTATTCATCATTCTTATAAATTCTATAATACAAGAATGTATAATATAAAATTCTATTTTACAATTATCGTCTGACTAATATTACAATATTCGTCTGACATTTGAGATTAAAAAAATCTCATACACTCTTTCACATAATTGTGTAGTTTATACGCACATACATACATATGTACTACCCACTTAAGTGATACTCTAAAAAATAAAGTGTAAAAATAAACAATAAATATCCAATTTAAATGACTACTAGTAACTTACATTATTTCCTTAAAGCAAACTTTTTTAACAGGTTTCCACCTTTTAAGGCCTCCTTAAATCCAAATGGAAGAAAAAAATATTTTAGTTTTGCCGACTTCGTATACTTATATTTCCGTGTATACGCTATCAATCACAGTTCTGCTGTTGTACTTGAACAAATTATTGTTTTTTTTTTGTCATTAAAGAAAAGTTTTATTGACATTCTATTATGTAACTGTAATTCTTGTAATATTCATATATAAAACGTCTGATAAACTGATCATGTCAATAAAAGATTATCCAAATTCCAAATATTTTACATTTTCTCCAACTTTCTATGAGTTTATAATGAAAATGGCTATCGAATGAAGTATAACAGGAGTTTCAACATGTTGAGCAGCAAAAATCTATAACAAAGTACAGAATTATTATTTTATAACTTAGATTGTTTAAAGAAAATGTGCTACTTTACAATATTAATTTGATTTGAATTTATTTATAATCTATACATATTGTTCATACATATGTATGTATATTATAATATTTAATAGTATTCTATAGTATAACATTTTGTATAGTATTATTTAATATTCTATGGATTTAGGATAAAATAGAATAGAATATAAAAAACTTTTATGATTTCAAAATTCAAAAATAAAAATAAAAAATTCAAACGCGCCAAAAAAAAATAAATGACATAAACTGATTGAACTAAATTATAATATCATCACACTAATACAAATGTATATATATTAATGATTAAATTATGCTGTAAATATTTATATACACGTACATATATGTTGTATATACACTAAGTTTATACACAAATTTATTTATAGCATATTTTGTATAAAAAGTTTTTTTCATGACCATTAAAATAATACTTATGTATTGTGCATAAATCTATAAAAAAAATTAAATAAAAATTTTTATGATAAAATATAATTTAATCATTGTGGCCACCTCTATTTTTCATTTCCAAATTCCTCTACTAAATTTAAATATAAAAAGTTTCCAATTTTCCATTTATAATATTCACAGTAAAGATTTTACTGTCAAAAAGATGTCATATAAAATTTTTGCTTAATTTTAACGCCATCTCGTCTCGTCAAAGGAAAAATTAATTTCAAATACTTAACTCTTTCTCAGCAAATTATAATCTGCTAAACTATATAATTTAAGAAATGCTTGCCAAACAATAAATATTTTGTTCTAACAATAAAGTTCTGGGTATATAATTAATTTTCCTTAAGGTTTCCAACATCTACTGACTTCAAAATTCCATTAATACAATTTATACATACACAATTATAACTCATAAGTTAAAATATGTATACTTATATTAATACCACATTTCACTGCAATTTTGAGATTAAGGAAATTTTTAGGGAACATCACAAGTCCCAAAGATGTATGCATGCTATTTTAATTCTCAAAGTAAATTTAAAGTGACTAACAAACGGAAATATTAGAAATTGACCGTTCATATCATTGATATAATGTACTTATATAGGCACAAACAAAATATATGTATGTTTATATACTTATACAGTAATAAAACATAAATGCTTGTTCACACTACATTATAAAAGTAATTTTTAAAATTTTTATTATTATTAATGTTTAAATTTAATTGAAAACAATTTAATATACAAATACATAAACAATAAAAAAAATCAAAATAAAATTAAAATTAACGAAGCGAACGTATATAGAAATAAATTGATTTGTATATAAAAACGCGAAAACAATTTTAGCATAATATAATAAAACATGAATTTTTCAAATATTTGATAAGAAAACAAAATAAACTGCAATATTGCTAAAAAGATGATAAAACGCTCTTAAATTTCTTTTATATTTAAATTAATCTTAATAGGATCTATTGAATATTTTAATTAAGATTAGTAATATACACAAAATTTCATATGATATAACATTATGATATCTTAAATGTATATTTTATTTAAGGACCTTGATAAAATTTACATAAATAATAAAATTTTAGTTTAAAAATAATAGTAAACTTCTTATGAATTGCTTTAACTTATTATAAATCAGATTTTAATAACTATTTATAAAAAGAGATTTAAAAATGTATTTCAATAATATTATTATACGAGTATATATTATTAAATTTAATAAATAACAATTTTTTTTTGTTTTTATATATAAATTTCAGGTTCAGCTATTAAATGTTTCGTATGTAACAGCCATACGGATCCGAAATGTGAAAATGAAAAAGCTGAAATCCCTGAGAGTTATTTAAAAGACTGTAGGGATGAATATGCTTCAAGATTTAAAGGACCTAGCACGTATTGCAGAAAAATAACTCAAGTAATTGAGTTTTCAGTCAATAGTTGTAAGTATTTATTTTAATTTTTCAAATATATGAATAATGATGTATATATGAAGATATTAACAATATAACAATAATGCAATGTTAAACATTTGGAAAATGTAAACAAATGAAACTCCGTACTTTTGCTTTAGGTGTCGTTCGTGATTATAAAATTAAAATAAAAAAGAATAAATTTATTCACAATAATAAATTTAAATTTGTCGCTCTCAATGAAATAAAAATGTCAGTTCTCAATAGTTACTGATGGATGTAATTTGTCAAATTCAATGAATTACATTTAAAATTTTAATAAAATATTAAACCATTCATCAATAAGTATTTTTGAATTTATTAAAGTTTTAAAATTTTTATTCAAAATAATAATGTAATAAGAGTATTTGCATTGAATTTTCAACACAATTCAATTCAACTAAGCGAAATCAAATCACATTCCTTTTGATAGATAGGAAGGATCAAAATTCTATTAACACGATCTACATATACAATAATACATTTTATTTATACTTATATAATCTATCTGTTTAATCCTTTCTATAACAATATTTTTTTGAAATTTTTATTTTTAGTACCACCTGATAGCCGTACAATAAGATCGTGTGGTTTTGTCAATACAACACGTGTTAATACTTGTTATAATCGTGCTGGTTTTGGTGGTCGCCAAGTTGTTTGCGCATGTGATACAGATGAATGCAATTCTGCTAATAATTATAAAATATCATTATATACATTATTTGCTTCGTTATTAGCATTTTATGGTGTACAAGAACTAATACCAAAATTATTTATGCAATTCAATTATAATAATAATAATATTTAAATATTAACAAAAAACTATTCATTAATATATACAATATAAAAAACAAATAGTAAAAATTTCCAGCAAAATAGAAAAACAATAACCATTATATAAAATAAAACAAAACTACTACCTACAAACAATAAAAAATTATAACTGATAATATAGAAAAATGTTAAACCCAATAGTAAAACTGAAAACAAAATATGTACTAATTCAAAAATAATATTGTATAGCAAAGAACAAAAAAAACAAAAATTTTATTTTATTTTTAAAATATGTACAACAGCATCACATTCAATTGATTAATTTAAAAAAAAAAACTATAAAAGAAAAAAAAATATATTCAAAAATTTTAAATAGATCAAAAAATGTTAAATACAAGATTTTCTTAGAATATATTAGAATTATATAGATATATTTTAAAAACTCAGACCATTAAATGCAAAAACTACAGAAAAAATACAATATTATATAGCCTACAATTGAAAAACTCAACAATTACAACAAAAACATCTTAAAATTTATAAAATGTTAGTTACGCACAATATATAACATACATATATATAGTATATATTTGTAAATGAAAATATATAGACGCATTAAATTGTAATTCTTGAAAAATTAGAGATCGTTATACAATAATGTATAATAATTATAAAATATGATCAAACTATATACTATATAATTTAAATTCAATTGAATTGAAAACTGTCTGTAATATTCAAATTATAAGAATAATTAAATAAAATAGAATTTTTGAAAATCTCATTTTTAATAATAAAAAAATTTAAATGCATTATACTTATGTAATGTACTTGCATATTGCTATATATATAATTAAATTTTTAAATATAATAAAAATTGATTAAAGAACGAATAAGATAAATATTGCAACATATATCTAGAATTTGCAACACACGAAAAAAAAAGAACAACAACAAAATATGTAATATATGAAAAAATATATAAATTATTAAATTAAAAAAATATATTAATCATAAATTAAAATTAGTTATTAATGAAAAAAAAAATATATATTTCAAAATAAAAATGATCAAATTAAGAATACATATAATTTATTTTTTATTTTTTAAGTGATCATAAATAAAATAACTATTAAAAAAAATAATTAGAAATAATTACATATAAAAGAATTCAATATAAAATGAGTATTTTATTTTAATTTCTCATCTAATTATTTATAATATTTTTTGTTTCTATTATATTATGTGATTCATATATATATATACGAATATAAAAAATATTAGAAATAAAACTAAATTAATATACTAATATTAAAAGTGAAATTCATTAAAAGAAAGAAACTACTAAATGCGATAGTATATTAATGTTATATTGCAGATTAAAAAAAAATTAAATTACTCATTTTATTCTGAATTATATTTAAATATTAATATATAAATAAAATTCTTAAATTAATTTATAGAATTTAAAATATATATCTATTAAAAATAACGCAATTAAATGTCATATTATGAATATAAACCTAAATAAAAATCTATATTTTTAATTATTATTTATATTAACAATTGTTATAAAATATAATAATAATAACAGAAAGAAACTTATTTTGGCAATTATTATTATATTTTAAAACAATGTAACACATTTTCTTTATTATTATTTTCAACAAATACAATACATTAATTTTATGATAATTAAATAAATATATATAACTAAAAGAATAATATTATTAATGATCTTATTCTATATTTTAAATATGTATATAAGATCCAATAAAAATAAATAATTTATTCGAACATATTTTCTCAAATAGGAAATTATATAATTCAAAATAAAAATACCATTAAATATAAGATATATTTAAAAAAAAATTGTATTTTATATTTTTTAAATATTTTAAAATTATAATTATTTTCAGAGATTTAATATATTAAAAATTCAAAATTGATTTCTTTTTTTCAAATCACAACAACAATAAATATAACTACTACAATAACAATAAACTACTACAATAGAACAGCAATAGAACCAAAAATGATGATAACCAATTACTACGATTTCACTTCACAAAACTCAAATAAAATAGCCCAAAACAAAGAAATAGAATAAAATAAAATAAATAGCAAAAAAAAAAAGAGAATCAATTAACAATAAACAACAATAAAAACAACAACACTTAAAATATTTTATTTCTGAAAAAAATATAAATTTTAAATATTTTCAAAATATAAAATAATAATTAATATTTAATTTATATAATTATTAATAATGTAATTTTAGTATTTTATCAATATATAAAATTAAAATATATGTACATATATAATATAAACAATTGTACACATTAATACATAAATTATATTTAAAATACTCTTATAAATAATATTTATTAAAATATAAAAAATTATAATATTATTATACAAAAATATATTCAAAATAAAATATATAGCTATATTCATAATTAATATAATATGAATAATTTAATGTATTGATAGTATTTAAATATTAACTTCATTAAATATTATAGAAATAAACCTTAATATTAATTTTAATTTAAAAAACAAAACAATATACAAAAAAATATATTTTAAATATTTATTAAAATTTTTTATTTTTCTTTTTTTCAAGCAACTATATACGTATATTGATGATGCAAAGTATAATTTTCATTTTTATTAAATATAATGTTAAATTTAATTACTATATATATATATATATATATATATATATATATGTATAATTAACGACATAAAGTATTTCATATTATACAATGGTAAAATAAACTAAATAAGAAAACAAAAATACAAAACAATGAATGAAAATTCAAACAAAAAAAAATACATTAAAACCAAAAATATAATTTATAATTGTAAAATATAATTTTTTTTGCTAAAGCTTTCCTAATTTTTAATAATAAATGTATAAAAAAATGTATAATAAATAATAAATAAAAAAAAAACGAAAAATAAAATTTAAATACAATATCTAAAATAAATCAATAAATTTTTAATAAAACAAAAAATAAAATAATATTTAATAAAACTTTCCGGTCATAATAATAAAAGCCGTGAAATAATATTATATTCCCTACCTGTATATATATATATATATATATATATATATATATATATATATATATATATATATATATATATATATATATATACAAAATAAAATAAATTTCATATTATTTTATAAAATTAAATGAAAATAAATAAAAAGCAAATACCGCATAAAAGTTAAAAGAACAAAAACTATAATAAATAATATAAAAGCAATTAAAATTTTTCAGAAAAAAAAAATAAAATCTTTAAAAAATCATATAAAGATAAAATTATATAAAAACCATCAATCATAATATAACTGTAAAGAACAAATGTATAGAAAAACAAAAAAAAAAAAAACAAAAATTCAACAAAGTAATTTATTTTTCTTCTTATTTTAATTAAAGAAATATAAAGAAAAAAACAAAAAAAAAAGCTAAATAAATTAAAAAACAAATATTTTTATTTTCATTAATTATTATATAGAAGAAAATATATTATATATACATACATATAAACCATATGAATAAATAGATAATTAATTCTGAACTATATAAAAAAAAATTACTTCAAGTTGCATAAATAAAACACATTACAAAACAATTTTTAATGTAAAACAGAATAAAAATCTCAAATATTGAAAAAAAAATATTATAATATAAAAATAATAATACATAACATTAACATTAAATAATATAAAAAACAAATTAAAATTAAATACAACATTCTTACTATAATTACTTGTAATTATTACAAACAAAAAAAAAAACAAATAAAATAATTACAAGTTTTTTAAGTATATTATTAAACGCAGAAAGATAAATTACATATAAAAAAAATATAATAATATATAATAATATTAGCATGCAAAAACCCATTTAATAACAAAAAAAAATATTTCACAATTAAAAATAATAATTAAAAAATAAAATATGAAAGAAAAAATAAAGAAAAATTTGAAACATCAACCAAAAACATATAAAAGTCAAAAATAAAAATAATTATTATAAAATAAATAATAAACAAAACAAAAACGAAAACAATTGCAAAAATTGAAATTTCATAAATCCATTAAAACATTATATTAAAAAAAAAAAAAAAACAAAAGAAGAAGAAAAAAAACCAATCTAATATTTACATTTAAAAACAAAAAATCACACATTTAAACATACGTAAATATATAACGTGTATTTTTTTTTCAATAAATACCATAATAAATACATATATATATATATATATGGATAGCTAAAATTATTGATGTCTATTTTAATCACAAAATAAAAAAACCATTTAAAAAAATAACAAAAAAAAAAAAAATATGTAGTAAATTTGCAAAAAAAAAAACAAATGAAAAATAAATAAAAATGCACTAAAAATAAATTTTATTTCCTTTTTTTTTAATTCAATTTTTGAAAATAAAAAATTATAAAAATTAAAATAAAAAATTTAAATAAAATAAATGTCGTACATAATTGTTATTTGTGTTATGTAGTTTGAAAAAATTATTGAAAAAAAAAAAAAAATAAAATTTAAGAAAGAAACATAAGAAGAACGTTTATCCCATACATATTTAAACTATATATATAAAAATTATTTAAATCAAAGAAAAAAAAAAAATTCTGCAACAATCTTTTAATTTTACAAAATATTTTTTATTTCAATTTAAAAAAAAACAAAAATTAATTGCATAGTAAAATTAAGAAGATATTCACCTAAAACAAACCACAAAAGAACAAAAAAATTTATTTATTTATAATAATTTTTAAGCTTTAAAAACAACATCTAAATTATATGAGCTTACATTTCATATAAATTATAAATTAGAAAATAAGTAATTCAAAAAAAAAAAATTATATTATAAATATAAATATTTTTTATTTTTCATATTTATATTTATTTTTTTTTTATACTTATTATGTAATAAATAAATAATTTACGAAATTTTTAATTAATCATCATTTGTTTTTATCAATTATTTTAAATTAAAATTAATATATTTTATTATTTTTTAAATATTAATATTTAATTTTCTTTAATTTTTTAGAAAAAAAAAATCATTTCTTTTTAATTATTATTATATTTATATTGAATTACTTTCTTATTTTCATTATACTATAATTATAATAAATATAATTAATATTAATTTTAAATATGAAATCTGCAAAATAAAAAATTAAAAAAAATTTAAATCATATATAATTATAACTTTATTTGAATAATTATCCTATATTCATGTAAATATATATAAACAAAAATAATTAAAAAACAAAAAAAAAAAATATTATATATAAAATCAAAAAATTGAAAAAAACATGAAAAATATAAAACAAAAACATCACAAAAATGCTAAACGTATTTTTTTTTTAAAAAATTAAGAAGTCAAAAATTATAAATACATCATTCTATAACAAAAAAAAAAAACATGAAAGAAGAAAACGTAAAACATCAAAAATATGAAAGACAAAAAAACCTTTAAAATCAAAATACATATATATAAATTGATACAATTGAAAAAAAAAAATAAAACATCATTGGCATTATAAAAATTAAATTAGATGTATAAATAAATATATAAAAAAAAAAAAAATAATTATATTTGTAAAACGCATGTCATATAATTTCAAAAGAATGTTTATTCACATATATGCATATATATAATTAATAAATATATTTATATACATATATGAATATAAAATACACGTAGATAATAAATTTTAAACAATAAATTAAAAAGAAAAGAAAAAACCACATACTAAATACTGCAAAATATTTAAAAAAAAAAATGTTATTTATGCAAAAAAAAAACAAACAATATAAAATTTTTAGAAATTAAAAACAAAACACTTATATATTATTGTAATTTTAATATATATATATATATATATATAGATATATATATAGATATATATATATATATATATATATATATATATATATTATATATACGTAATATATATATATATATTATATATATACATAATATATATATATGTAATATATGTATGTATATATATATATATCTATATAAAAGAAAAGTAAAATAAAAAAATTTTTAAAATGATTAAAACACCCACACAAAAATTCTAGATTTAATAAGTCTTATAAAAACTTGAAAAAAAAAATATTAAAAAAAAATAAAAAAAAAAATTAAAAAATTTAATAAAAAAAAAAATTATTATTATTAACTAACTATTTTTATTATATATATATGTATATATATATATATATAATATATTTATATTGGAAATATTTTTACAATTGAAAGCCATTAAAAAGAAAAAAAAAACAAAAAACAAAAAACATCTTAATATATTGGCAAAAAGAAAAAAATTTATTAATATTAAAAATAAAAAACAAATAATTTAATTTTACATAATTTTATAAATTTTATGAATTGCATTATATATTAGCTAAAATTTAAAATTAAATTAAAAAAAAATTATTAAAAATTAAAAAAAAACAAACATCAAAATGCTAAAAATTAAACAAAATTAAAACAAAAAAAAATTAAAATCAAAAATTTAAAAAGAAAAATTAAAAAAAAAAAACATTTTTCGAAAAAATTGCTTTATATTATTAAAAAAAAAAGAAAAACAAAGAAATTATATTTTTATTTTCCTGTTATGTGAAAATTTTCATTAATTATAAATTTAAAATGAAAAGAAAAAATAATAAATAATAATAAAAGAAAATAAAACACAATACTACAATACTATATACAATAGAGTTATAATATTATATATCACATATATATCATAATATTTTATATATGCATTATATAACATAATTATTATTATTATTATATAAATTCATTTAATATATAAATAAAATATTAACGTATGACACTAGCATATTATAATCGAATAACAATAGAAATAATAATAATATTATTATATTATATAATAAATTTGCATATTCTTTTATATATACAAATTATATTCAAAAGTTAAAGAAAAAATGTGTAATACACATTAATATTACACATAATTTCAAAATAATTCAAATAAAAATACTATTAAATGCAATATTAAAATAAAAATAATATATTATTTATAATATATATTTATTTTTGTTTTTCTTAATTTCCTGATATTTTTTATATTAAATTTTTTTTAAAAACATTTTCGTATAACACTTAAACACACACATACACATAAAACAATATTCTTATGTTTTATAGTTAAATTATTTTGGGAATCTTTATATGATAACTTTTTAGTTATAATTTTATGAAATATATATATAAAAAAATTATAAAAAAAAATAATACACAAACTAAACATTAATAATATTATATAAATAAACAATAAAATATACCAAATTTAATTATAATATTTTCTTTTCTGTTTGTATAAATTCAAAATCACTTAAAAAAAATAAAATGCATTTTATAAGAAAAAATATTAAACTATAAATACATTGCCATCAGAATTCAAATCTAAAAATTCAACTTTATTTACCAATACAATTTTAATATAAATTATAGTTGAATTAGTCAAATTTTGACATTAGATCCTGAATTTATAGATATTTTGACTTAATTCTGAGTGTGAAACGAGAAAGTATTCAATTGCATGTAATATTAATTAAAAATCAGAAATTTTGACATTGCGTGTACAATACGAATATATACTCGTATTATTAACTATTTTGAGGTATATATATATATTTCCGAATATAATATTATATATGGTACACCAATATGTATTTTATATTTTCTCGTGTCACTTCCAGTAATTTATTTCAAAAATAAATATGTATTTTAAAAAATAAGTCTAAAATTTTTTTCAAAAATTTATATTTCGAAAACATAAAACGAACAAGAAAATATTTATAAATTTATAGAATACATTATATACATACATATATACACAAATATAATATTTATAATAATGTGGATTTGATATACTGCATACACATATAATATTATAATGTATGTAAATTTATCTTTTTTACTTTTTTACTATTTGAAAAAAAAAAACAAAATAAACCGATTCATATATAAAAATACAAAAAAAAACAATAAAATATTTGAAATAATGAATTCAACACGTATACAAAGTGATATTCTTTCAATTTATTTTTAATTATTTAATTAAAATATTAAATTTTTCTCTTTAATTGAAATATATTTAACAACGACAACACTTGTTTATTAACATTTATAAATTAGATTATAAAATAGTTTTTGAAAAATTTATTAATTCAAAAATTTTCTCAAAGTTAATATGGAAGTCCATTAAAAAAAAAATATTTCGACATTTTTATAATTAATTTTTGTTGTCACTAATTCTAGTATTAAAAATTATAACAGTTTTCATCTACAATATTATTTATTATATATTCATTCAAAAATTCTAAAATGAAACATTGCCTATTTTAAAAATTTTAAATTTTTTAATTAAATTTACAAACAATTTTCGAAAAACAAAACAAAGAAACTACAATATACATCAAATTGACACACCGATATTTATTAAAATAAATTAAAAAAAAAACAGATTTATATTAAAAATATAACAGTATATATTACTTTATATTAATTTTAAATACAAAAATAAATAAATATATAAATAAAATACATTCATACATAATTATATAACAAAATAATTAATATATATAATTAAATAATCATAACAAACATAATAATTTAAAATTTCTACATTATAAAAAATACAAATCATAAAATTATACTAAAAAATAAAGCAAAATTATATAAGAATACATTTATTAACAAATTTTGCTTAGTATTGCCAAATGTATAAAAAAAACGAAAGAATATAACAGAATACAATAAAAAAAAACAACAAAAACAATTTTAAAAAAAAATTAAATATATTTTTTTTTTCTTCATAATTAAATCAGTTATTAAAAATGAAAACATGTAAAATCTATAGTTTAGTAAAATGGTGAACCTATCTGTAATAAAAACATAAAATATACATAAATAAAAAACTATAAGTAATTTCACCTTTCTATATTTTTTATTTTTCTTAACAGTCTTTTATACTATACCATTTTTTTTTTTTTTGGAAAATGCAATTTATTATTCACCAATTACTAAATATATATGACATGTAAAACGAATAAATTAAAAACCTAAATTAATAATAATTTACTACAATTATTTAAAAGAATGGAAAAAGAAAATAAAATAAAATAAAATGAGAAATGTAATTATAAAGAAAAATTACTATTAAAATAGTTTTAGAGTATTTAAATGTAACATCTCTAAGATTAAAAGAACAACAATTATATATGTATATATATACATATATATATAAATATTTAAAAAAAAAAAAACAAAACAATTAAATGTAATTTAATAAAAAAAAAAAAATTTAAATAAATTTCAATTGAGAAATTTTTGTTCCTTGGGGATACAAATTTCTCAACTAAAAAAAAAAAACTATTGTGGTGATGGTCTTCTTATTTATTAAAAATGTTGCAAAGTTGAATTAAACTCCTGAAGTTTATCGCTTTAATACACCGGTTTTTCCATAATTTAGGCCAAATTTATGGGATGTTTTGTTAAATGTTACTAATACTCTACAAACTCTTAAATAAATATATTTCATTATACACTATACATATAAAATATAAATAATAACATTTATTTATATGTTATATACTATATTTAAATACCTCAACAAGCTCACATATAACGCTCCTAGTTACCAACATAATCAGTATCGGATTTACTTACAAAATGAATAAAAACTACATTATTTGTACAAGAACTCTGCTTTTAAAAGGGACATTAAATTCATTTAATTTAAGCGGGGATAATAAATAAAACATTCAATTCTCGGAGTGGAGAATTCTAGAATTCGGATTAGCCTAGAGCCCATAAGTAGTAAATCTGTCGCTACTTATAATATTATTTATGACATTTTTAAAATTAAATTAAAAAATAGACTTTATTTCAAGTTTACATTGTAGAAATCTCAATATTGCCGGCAATATTGGTAACGAATCGTTACCTACAGAATATTTTTATGTATTCCTGTTATTTGTATAAAAACTATTTATACGTAAATGGATATATATAAGTATATATCATGTAAGTACTTTAAAAAAATATATTTAATCCTAAAATTACTGAACCATATTGCGGTTCAGCTTAGGAACTTACGTCAAATTTGGGAAATTTCGAAAATGGCTTGTCATACAGGATTATGCAAATATTTAACTAACTAATTAACTAATTTTTTTATTGGAATAGCGCATTTGCTTTATTCCTACTGTTTTTTACATATATGTTTTTCAATTTTAAAATCACTGTTTTTGTTTTTTTAACCAGACTCCCGAATTACAATATCTCTATATCTCTAATACTGAAAATCCCCTTTAGTTACAATGTCTATAATGTTAAATTTTTTTATTGTAGATTACGAATGAAGCCAAGTGCCAAAATAGGAAATATTTTGAAAATTTAATTGACAGAAAAGAATTTCTGTTATAACTCTGGAAATTTTATCTAAATATCTACATAGCAATAATTAATGGTATAGAATAATGTACCATTGCTTAATTATACATAGTACTTACTTTCATTTACATAATTCATAAATAAAAAAGTTCAAAAAAAATTTTAGTAGATATGTATACTAAATTTATTGAAATTAAAGTTTGGATTTTGTAAAAAATTTATTGGCTTTTTGATAACTGTTCATTTTCTTTTTCGAAAATGAAATTCGCAAATGATTCCGCTTCCACTCTCCTTCTATAATCTAAGGTAGGTTTTATTAAATATCTATAGCCAAAAATGATGGTTCCACTAACAGCAATACCAGCGAACATAATTCCAGGTGAAGAATTTAAGGATTTTTTGATCGTTTTAAGAGACTCCATCTAAAAGAAAAACCAAAACAGTTATAAGAAAAAATGAGATTATATTACGTTTTACGGTAGTGACCAAAAAAATTCATTATAGATACACATTAAGAAGCAAAAAAAAACTACCTTTTAAAAAGTTAAAATACGCTAATTAATATTCTTCTCGAAATTTTTCGCTATTAAAATAAAAATCCAACTTATTGCGAACTATTATCTTTGGTTTCAGAAGCCACTTTTTTGATTGACTCCGAGTTTTCCCTGTATTTCACGAAAAGAGGTTGCCAAATATATGCACCGGCTAAAACTCCTGAAAAAAATTTTTCAAGCAATGATTTTATCTTATTGTAAATACGAAATGCATTCTTACCGACTACAGAAACTACTATTAACTGGGTGGTAGAAATTGTCCTCGGTTTTCGAATCCTTAAAACCATTTATAGATACTGTAAGTTTTATGATTATAAAAATTCGTTTTAGTTGTCTTTTTACAATTGTAGAAATATCAAAATTTCAATCATGAATCTTAACAAATAGTTATGCAATAGAGTTTTTGATGTACCTGCCTAAGAAAACACGCGTTGTATATAATAATAATATAAGCAGTTTTTATAGAGTTGACAGATAAAGAATTATACATCTACATTATTAAAAATTGATTCTTTAAAATTTAAATCTTGTTATTTTAGTTGAAAAATTTTCTCTGTCTAAAATTTTTAAAATTTATTTTCCTGTTATTCGAACCTAAATGTAACTCAACATTTTTCACTTCTTTTCAACATTTTTCCAATTAGCTTTGTTGTGTTATCATTTGTAATTGTAATATTTTCATAATGCTGTCATTATCATATGCTTTTGTGATATGTTTTTGTTTTTGAAGTTTAGAAAAATTTTAATGACATTTACTCTAACAGAGCCGCCAACTGCATCCTCTGCAGTGTACACTATGTCAAATTTTAAATTCTTTCATTTTTAAAATAAAAAGATAAGTACTTGTTTATTTCATAGCTTTTGAATATGAACAAAATAAATAAAATTTAAATACATACATGAATCTCATCTAAAATATATTTGTATAAATATTTTTAAAATATAACACTTATAATAAAACACATACAAGCATCGATAAATGTAATATAGTCCAAAATACCTTGCCTTAAATTTTCTTGACTTAACATTTTCATTTCAAAGTGATAAAGATTTGTTTTTTTTAAGGAATATTTAAATAAAATTTTTGTAAACAATTATTCTAGTACATTTCTAAAACTTTAAAGAGTTCAAAATGTTTTAGTAACGCAAAGTATACTCGTATCTTAGAATTAGCATAAGTTGTCCAAAAATTAAATACATGCGTGTATAATAACTTCTGGTAAAAAAAATTCTAACAAAAATCAAACAGATAATTTAGAAACTAAAATAGCACTACTACTATTATAAATTTGAAATATCGGCAACACTGTTATTTTAGTACTTTTTTGATTGATATAACAATTTAATGTTATTTTTGACAACTTAGCTTTTTTTTATTTATTCAACTTAAAATAAAAACATAATATACCTACATACCTAAAAAACACGATGTTTTGGATTTTGTCTTTATTGAAAAATCAACATTCTTTTAAGCTCACACAATTTTTATTTTTATTCACATATGTACATTCAAAAATTTTTTAGAAATTAGCCATCATACAGTTGAAATATGGGTGTTAAAGGTTTAACAAGTTTTATAGCAAAAAATGCTGAACAATATATGAAACCATTCGAATTACATGACTGTGATTTAGGTAAGTTTTTTGATAACTTTATAAAATCATGAAATTCCAAAGAAAAATTTTAAAAGACCAATCTTTCAGTGATTGATGGTGATAATTTGGCATGCAATTTATATAAAGATGTATCGGAGTGTAATTCTGCTTTTGGGGGCGACTATGATAAATACTACAGAACAGTAATTAAATTTTTTCAATTATTGTCACAATGCAATATTCGAAGTTTCGTTTTGCTTGATGGAGGTTATGAACAAAAAAAAATGCGAACTGTGCAAAGTAGATTAAGAGCCAAAATAGCATGTATTAAACATATTAATCCATCAAACAGCAGACCTATGTTTCCTTTGATGATGCGTGAAGTTTTCGTCGATGCTGTCAAAAATTCTGGAGTTCACTTAATGAGATGTATGTATGAAGCAGACGAAGAACTAGCTGCATTAGCCAGATGTTTAAATTGTCCGGTTTTAAGCTATGACTCTGACTTCTATGTTTTTAACGTTAAATATATACCGTTAATTACTTTAAGAATGAAAGTTTTAGAAAAAAAAGAAAGTAAAATGAATCAAAGGCACGAATTAAGAGCATGTGAAGCAAAGAACTTGAAAAAAAAACAGCGAATAAATTCTGGTCAATTAATTGAACATGAAGACAATATTAAAATTAAAAAAACCAAAGCTAAAACAGTAAAATATTTAGATTGTTGTCTGTATAAAATTGAAAACTTATTAGAGAAAGGTAAACTTGATAAAGAAAAATTACCATTATTTGCTGCTCTACTCGGTAATGATTACATTAATGTAAAAATGTTTAAAAGTTTTTATTCGCAAGTAGGCATGAAAGGTGTATCCAAAAAAATACCAAAACATCAAAAACGTGTAATGGTTATTTTAAAATGGTTAAGATATGAATCAAAACAATCAGCAATGGAAAAAATTCTTGGTAGAATGAAAAAAGATCAACGTGAAATATTATTGAAACAAATGCAAGATGCAACAAATGGGTACTTAAATGAAAAGTGCACTTCTTTTAAATATTTCAATTTATCTGAAAATGACAGAAAGTTGGATTCTTCTGATTCCGAAGATAGTTTTGAATCTGAAGATGAAGAAAGTATTGGGAAGGAAGAAGAAAAAGAAGGTCGACATAAAATGTGAACAAATAATGAATTTATTTTAATGTTAATTTTTTTATTTTGTTTTCTTGTAGAGAGTGATTCTTTTTCCGAAAATGAAGATGCGCTTGAAACTTCGGAACAAAATGATTCAGATAATGATAGCGTGCTAGAAATGGTAGACAAAAATATAGGAGAGGAAATTTTAAGTATTCAAAATACAAATTTAACTTCTGAGATCGAAGATAATAGAGAGAATCGGGAAAATTCAAAGTCCATACCGGATGGTCTTCTCATAAAAATTTATTCAGCTGCATTTCCTCGTTTCGTAAACGATTTACTAAATTTAAAATTATACATAAATAATCCACAAGTCGAAAACTTCTTATATCCAGATTGTAACGAAATTGCCGTTAAAATTTTATTAAAAATATTTGCATATTTGCATTATCCTGAAACACCAGATCTTAGATATTTGACAAGAGTAGTACGTTTAACAAATTGTATATATAAAAAATTTTCAATAGTTGATATAAAATTGAATAGAGAAAATATGCTAGAAGAATTATTTGAAACATCCAAAATTGATTTAGTAAATTTATTAAAAGATTTACAATCATTTCCTGCTGATATAAGATATTACATAATTGTACTGATTTATTGGGCTAACAATAGCAAATATTGTGATAAATTTCATATCCATGCTATTTTAATTTGTTTAATCATATTAAGATTCATTGATACAAAAATTGAACCTATTAGGGATGAGAAACAATTTTTAAAATTACATGGGAAAAAAATTCAAAAAGAAAAGATGTTACGAAATAAAAATGAAAATATCTCAGATAATTTAAATGGAGAAAATAATACGAAAATTTTGAAAACAAAAGACATATTAAATAAGTTACAAATTTATGAACGAATTAATTATATTCCTAAAACAGAAATTATTTTATTACAACAAAATTTTTTAAAATATTTTGTTTTTCATGAAGATCATCGAAAATCTCATACAATATTTTCGTCAATCATAGTTCACGGTTTCTCTGAATTTCAAGCTGTAATATATCAAATGTATACATTAAATGCTTTATTGGATATGCCATTTGAACAAATAAAAATGTCCAATTTGTACTCTGGATTATTTTTGTATAATATATATACAAATTTACAACAACGACTTGATATACAATACTATGTAAAAAATTTTATGTTTCAAAATTCAGAAACTGTTTTTGAATATTATCAAACTCTTTGTCAACTTTGTGAGACTTATATTGCAATTTTTGAATTATCAAGTGATACTGCAAACAATCAGATAAAGAAAAGTAATAAAAAACTAAGACAAAAACTTAATAAGAACTCAACATTAAAAAATCAAGACTGCACATCATATCGGGAAGATATGATTTCAGATGCAGGTTCAAAAAGTAATGAAGAAGACATAAACTTAGCAAATAATAAATTTGGTTTGTTATCTATTCAATAATAATAATGTTATTTTTTGTTTTAGTTAAGTAGTATATTTTTATATAATCCGCTATTTAATATAAAAATTTATGATTTTAAATAATTTTTTATTCACTTTTTTTTTTCTTTAGCAATTAAATATTAAAAATTCAATTTTTTATCTTAAAAATATATAATAGATATAATTTTTTTTTTACACTTTTCCATAAAAATTTTTTAATCCTTTTTACTTTTTTAATTTGTATATGAACATGAAAAAAGCTAAATTACAAAAAATCTAACAAATAATTTCAAAGTCTTCATCGGAGTCATCTCCTTTATTATTTTCTTCATTTTGAACCTCTTCAAAATCTAAAAATATTTGATATATGAATTATTTAAAAAAAGGAAACCAAATATTATGTTAAAATAGAAAAAATATACCTTCAGATTTCGTTCTTCTTCTGTTTGATGTGGTTTGTGATGAATAGCTAGTAGTTGGCGATATCCATGGCATTGATCGAGTTTTCGTAATTTCGAATAATGGCTGATTTCCAGAGTTTAAGACTTCGTTCTTTAATTCATTTAATAGGACTTCATAGGAAAAACGAGTTTTGCAGAAAAAGCACTAAAAATCAAAATTAATTTTAAAATTAATTATAGGTATATTATTATAGAATTAAATCTTACTAAAGCAATTGAGGGATCCATTTGATTAAACTGAATTCGTTGAGCATATTTTTGATGATAAGTCTCATCTAATTCAATTTCATTTTGTGACGTTTTTGTTCCGACAGATCCAGACCGTTGTGTATAATGTGGATCAAGAAATATTACTTCATCTTCTACGTATCCAATAAAATATAATGCTTGATTTGGTTTACCACCGATCATACCCAAACTGCCAACCAATTGAAAGCATTTTTTTAATGCTGGTATATAAATGGGATTAATATCACTTAAACCGAGCCTCAATTGTATTAATAATAATAATGGTTTCCAAACTGAACCTGTTCCACAAGTTTTATCTACAAAATATAGAAAATTATTTTGCAAAATAATAAAACTAAATTGAAATTATACCGATGTCGTCTGTTGCTATTGTATTGTCTAAAGCAACATGAACAACTATTGAACACCAATCATCATATCCAACTAGTTTTCTACATGCAAATTTCTTATGAAATTAAATAGATTTTATAAATTGCTAATTAAATATATACTTCAAAACTTGTGCAATTGTATTTGGTCCAAACCATTCACCGACTCTCTTATCTTCAGATTCTCCCATTAAAGCAATTTGATGTATAGAAAAATAAGATTTTCTAGAATCTTCAAATCTATTGACTATTTTTAAATAAGTTGGATCTCGTGTCTCTGGAGTCCAAAACCAATCTCTTCCTAAATGCAAATCAATTAAAGCTTGACCTAACAACATTTGACCACAACGGAGCATACATCCCCAGCCTATAAAATTTTTTAAATTTAAAAATTTGCATTTTTTATAATAAAAATTATATTTATAATACCTTTGTCTGTTGTTAGTTGAGATTCACCTAAAGGAACAAATCCTCTCCTATATGTGCACCATAATCGCGAACGTATGTCTCGTCTAATAAGCTCAAGCTCTAAAAAAAATTAATTTTAATGAATAAAAAATTAATTAAATAAATACTTTAAATCCAAACTGTACCATTTATGGAATTATATCGTTTTCCTAAAATCCATACATCGGCATTTGTCTTTGGTATATCATCTGGTTCAGCTGTTAAAGCTAATGCTCCATCTGGTCCTAAATATGCCTCAAAAACGCTATCCATCTTCCTGGCCACATTTGCGTATAATTCAAATAAACGTTCGATTTTTGCAATTAATTAATAGACCAACAAACATGAAAGATCTTCAAGGCTAAATTAAGATAAATATATGTATCTTATATATGTATATTGTATAATATTCCCCCAAGAAGATGACAATGGCAAAATAAAATTTGTCTAAGGCCAATGTAATATATTTTATATTGATGTCAAATTATCTTTCATATTACAACTTTGAAGAAAAAATTTTTCAAATAAATACTTAAAATGTAAAAACTTATTATCTACTTAACATTTAAGAATATTAAAATTTATATAATATAAGAAAATTTTAGATTATCATTTAATCAAAATAATTACTAATAACAAAGAACTATGACAACACAACACGGAAAACTTTTTAATTTTTTTATTTGGATTAATGACATATTTGACATTTGTATCAAACATGTATTAAAGGAATTTGGCTGGTTGTTTATTGGTTTACAACATGTACTTGTATTCACAATTAAATTATGTTCGCTATTTACATTGCTTGTTTAACAACAGCTAATTGAAATTGCTTGCTTCTGATTACCAACTTATTTTTTATTTCTTCAATAGGCAATGAGACATTACGGGATTTAATTTATATTTTCTTAATAACTATTGGTCCTGTGTCTTAATAACTATTGGTCGTAACAACTATTGCTCACACACTCAAAGTGACAACTGGTGCTAAATAGTACATATTAGTATAATATTTGAGCTGTTGTTTTTAGAACTTACTGCAGACGATGTTAAGAAAACAAAAATTTTCTTTTAAAAAAATGACTACTGTATTTTATAATAAAACTATGATTTTATAATAAACTATGAAAAGTTTTTAGAAAACCAATCATGTAAAAAACATCATGATATAATATGAGTTTGAAGGAGTTGGTATTATGTTCCAAGGGAATTTATACCGTAAGGGGATGACAAAAATTCGTAATCTTACAATTATAAAATAAGGTTACATATATTTTTTTTATTTTTGTTTTTATTATATTTCATGATTTTAGATTTACATCTTTTTTGGCAAGCGGAATTTTGCTTCAGCAAAACGAACATACATATATTTAATTTATTAAGCATCACTTTATAAGTAGCTTAAAAATATTTTCTGAAATTGTTATACATTTTGAACTAATACTCAGGTTTTATAAAAATTTATTTATCAAAAATATATCGACCATTCATGTATGCACTACTGTATGCAACTTATTCATATATATTTTAAAAAATCTAACTTAAAAATTAATCTTAAAATAAATTTATATAAAAGAACGATACACAATTTATTATTTATATTTACAAGTTTAACAAAAAAATTCTAATATAATTTTTAGCTAACAATATTATAAAATAACTTTTTTATAATTAAAATATATTGCTAAATCAACAATTGTCGTCCCTCGATAAAAATCTACGCTTACAATATTTGCTGTTTGACCTAAATCTTCACGATATAATCTTGATACTCTCCAATTAACTTGATCTGCCATTTTTCTTAAACCACCATATTTATCTACAAAATAAAACAATAAATTATTAAAAATTATTTTCAATATAATGACAGAAAAATTGAGAAACTATATTATGTATATAATTGAAATACCAGTTATAACACCCCAAGCTTCTGGTGTAAGTTCAGCCATATCAGAAACTGGTCTACTTGAAAGTCTCCTATGTATGTTAAATAAAAGAAAAACATGGTTTATTTTAGTTAATTAATGTACAATTAAAAAATCATATACAATTACCACATATCGAAAGTATTGACTCGTCTTAAATAATTTTCTAAATCAGACCATTTTTTAACATTTCCCCATCGTTGTTCACAAGCTGGAAATAAAATATTCGAGAATTCTGATACAACTCCTAAATGATCATATGATAAGAAAATATTTTGCTTTCTTCCCCATATTTCAGATAATGTTGCTTGCCATGATATTTGAGGACTAATTAGTAAATCTTTTAAAAACGCATACATATATTGAACTAATTTACGATGAATAGTAAGATCCTTGCCAAATCCTATTTTAGAATTAAAAATTTATTTTTGATTATTCACGAATATGTTTAAAACTTTAAAAATTTTATAAGTATTTTATTACAATTTCCCAAACTAAATTGAGTATTTCCAAAACTATAATTGAGTAAATATCCCAAATTAAGAATTTTTTCAATTTCCGGTAAATTATGAGTTAGAGTTCAAGAACTATTTACTATTAAATTATTTAATATTAACTAAAATGAGAAATATTAAGATAGACATGTAATTTATGGATTGAGCTACTTTCATACAATAACACAAATCATACCGGAACGGTTTTTGTAAACCATTATTGACATTTAAATGTATATAATATGTAAGATTTATTTATATACATTTTTGTATATGGTTATTTGCCATTATATGTATAACATTATGATTGCTATACAAAATATGTTGCAGCAGCATTGAATTTTTTGTTTACATAATTGGATTGCAATTAATAATATTGTTACATTACAAGAGGTGGTTCACTTGCTCCTAATGATTAATCAAACTCAAGCATATTTTATTTTTCAAGTACCTACATACTCATACATACATATGCAATTGGTACTTTGCATTTGATATATTCATAGTGGAAATACGAAAATGTACACGATATATAGTCAATGTTAATAACATGTTAATGCTATAAATTAGCCACAACAATGACAGTAATTATGTAAATGTAAAAATTTTAATTCTTAGATAGTACCTAATGTGAAAAGCTCAAGAGCTTCATAATTGTTATAAAAATGCATTTAAATTCAGATTTCTGATTTATTAAAAAATAATTTTATTCAAAACAAGAAATTTTACATAATTTATTTGCATACCTAATTTTTTTTTTTTAATTTCTTATTTAGAATTTTCAAACAGATTTTTAAAATAGTAAATTAATTTTATAATTGTATAGCAATTGTGATGTTGAAACAATGATTTTGTTCATAATGGAAAATATTCTGTTCATATAATATAAGTACATAATGTGTGTACAAAAATCTTTTCATCTAATCTAATCAAGTAAATTATTGTACCTAATAATTTAACTATAAAAACTGATTCTGCTTTAACCCAAAAATCATCACATTCTTATTTCTATTAAAGAATTTTGAAATATCATTCTCACGCTCATAATAATAGAATCTTCTACGTGTGTATTTTTGTATGTACATACATTGTACATGATATTATTGTGAATATCAATTCGAATTAAATTATTATATTAAATTAAACTTACCGACAGGAAATTCTTGTACATCAACAATAATAATTTCATTTGTTTCTAAAATAAATTCTCTTATTTGACTTAAGACTTCATTAAGAGGTCTTTGTTTTGTAATTCCATGATTAACAAAAAATTGTTCTGGTGTATTTTTATAATAACCAACACGTATATCTAAATATCTAATACCATGCATTAATTGTCCTCTAATATCATCATCTTGTGTTAAAGCATATTTAGTAACAATTGTTTCACGTTTAGATGGTTTAAAATTTTTACGATATGCACCAGAATCATGACTACCAGGTATAAATAAATCACGTATACGAAATTGTCCAATTGCTGTTCTCATTTCATTCATCCACATTGGATATGCTTTAATACAACCAGTTGATATAATTTCACCTTCTTTATTAACATAACTAGCCCAATAACCATAACATTTTGTAAATTTTGTTATATTTTCTGAACTATTATAATCAAATTTTAAACTGGTACGTATCCATTGACTTGGTTCAAATGGATTTATTATTTCTAATATATCAATTTTACCTTTATTACATTCCCATTTTTCATTTTTATTATTTTTATTATTATCAAAAATTATTGGTATTATACCATAAGAGCTATCATTATTAGATCCACTACCATCATCATTATCATCATTACTATTACTATTATTATTATTATTACTTAATGATGTTGATGTGTCATTTTCTGAATTATACGATATATTAAATTCAAATCCATTACTTAAATCTGGATAATCACTAATACGAACTTTTTGAAATTCTTTTGGTTCAGCATTTGTTATAAAAATTTTATCACCCATAGCTAATCTAGCATTTATCCATGATATTTCAATAGTACGTGTTTGAGCGCTAATTGTTAACCATAATTGTGGTAATTGTGACCGATATGGATCAGAAGAGAAACCACTTGGAAATGAATAAACTATATACGATGATTGTAATATTATAAAAAATATTAATATTATCATTAAAAAAATTGAATTAATTGCTCGAATAGTCATTTTATTTTTCAATTATTTTACACGCACAATATTTTGTTATTTTAAAAGTTATTAAAAATTTTTTAATATTTAAATAAATTTAAATTAAAAGAACATTTAATTTAACTTATTCAAAATTTGAAAAATTTTCAATTTATTTGATAGACTTTCCTTTTTTCAACACTGAAATAAAAAAGTCTTTTTATTCTCAATAATAAAATGCGATGCTCTACTGATCAACAGAAGCACTGTAGGCTTACTAACTTTAAAATATTTTCTAATTATAATATTAAAAAGTTCTAAAATGTATTTACAAATAGTTATAGTTTAGTCAGTTTGAATGTAATTAATAGTGAAGCTCTATTTTAATTATAGGTATAACCATAACAGTAGCTTTTTACTATTTAAAGTGTACTAAAAACATATTTGTAAATTTCACTTTAGGAAATTGTCACTAAGAAATGTTTTTGTCTAATAAATGTCATTATTTCTATATTCTATTTAAAACATTGTTAAATTTTTCAAGATCAACTAAATTTTTTAAAGCCATTTTAAATTATTTTATAATTACAATTATTTTAAATTATAAGGAAGATTTAAACAAATTCTGTTAAGGAAATTTGAAATAATTATGTTGAATTTCTATATCTAAATCTTTAATTTTGGAATTATAATTCATAAATTATAACAGTTTACAAATACATATATCACCGGCTTTTTAACACTTACAAAATATTCACAATATTATATAAATTAACACCATTGACACATTAATAAAATGTGAATTTCAAAATTTTATATTATTTAATCTTTTATAATATGCTCTTATAATACCAAATAGTGAAAAGTTATTCACACTTTAGTCAAACAAGCTAGAAGATAATTTTGTTAATTTAATTTTATGCTTTTTAATTTGAGTAGCAGCAAATGGGAAAAAAAAATCAACAAGAAATTATTATACCAGACAATTATAAGACACAAAAGCAAAATTTAATATACTATCAACTGAGTATTTTAGTTTGACAACTCAGTGTTACTGATTTAAATTCAAATTTTTCAACTCATTTTGCAAAATGTGTAATAAATATGAATAAAAAAATAATATTGATCTTAAATTGATAATTCCTACATCAGTACACATGTATATTTAATAATCTTAATTTATGTATATAAAATGATTGCTAAGCTAAATACTAAATGAATTAATTATTTCCCAATTTGAAGGGAGGGGAAGGGGGGAAGGATCAAACAGCTCATATTATATGAAATTATAATTACATATTATGAATAAAAATTCAATTTCATAATAAGGATATTAAAAAATTTTTTATAAATATTTATTGTGTAAAAATTTTGTTTTTATTTTACTTTAAATTATTATTACATTTTATTTCACATTTTTCATCACTCAATTAAACACGTAAATAGGTACCCATTTTTTTTTTTTTGTAACAAAAAAGACTTTTGTGTTAATTCACAGTAGTTATTTTTATACGTAAATAATTTTATTTATTATCAAATCTGGCATCATTGCACTTCTATATACGATTATGAAGCTTAATTAAATATTATCCGATGTTAAGTTATATATATGTTTGTATGTATGGGTTAATTAAAAAATTTATTACGGTTAATTATTATTAAAATATTTTAATTAAATAATAACAACAAACTTACAATATGCAATATTTAATATTTTCTTTTTTTTTATTTTGTTTTGATTGCAAAGATGTGAAAATATTAAAAAAAAAAAAATAAAATAAATATAAAATTTAAATTAAATAAAAAAAATTTTGTATTATCAAAAATTTTATTTATTAATTAACCCACATTTCATCTCCAAACGAAAAAAAAAAATACGAAATTAAATAAAAAGAAATATGAAATTAGCACCCGCCAAAAAAAAAAAAATCAAATTGTAAAAAAAATTTTTAGTACCGTTAATATAGACCAAAGAAAAAAATAAATAAAATATTTAAAACGCGTTTTAAAAATTTATCGAGTCGGCTAGTCAACAGGGCGGCAGTGAAATTCAGACTGAAATTGAAAGTAATAACATTGAAGAAAAAGTTACAAATATTTTTTTTTTTCAGTTTCTTTCTTTTTTTTTTTGCTTAATACTTAAATTTTTACTATAAAATTTTATTTTAAAATTATTGTATTATTATATTTGACGTTCTATTTAATTTTGAGACGAATAGACACCGCATCAATCAGAGTCTATATAGAGTCTTGACTTGATAGTTTTAAGGTGCAATTTTTATATTATTTATTTTTGTTCATATATTTTACAGTTGTAGTCCAGAGTAAGACATCATAAAAATTGTAAAATTTGAATAATTCAAATGAATAAGTTCGATATAATTTCTATCGTCTATTACATAATATTGTGAATTATTATAATTTTGTAGTATGTTGAATAATATTGAAAATGTTATAGCATTGTTATTTATTTTAACCACAAATGAGAGAAAATGTACTCTCAAAGTTAGTCGCTATTATGACGCTGTAAATTTAAATACGTTTTTTTTTTGGATATCCTGAAAAATTAATATTGAGGTTGCTGTAACGTTAATAGTTTGACACCTTCTACAGATGTCAGTTTTAATTTTTTCATAAGAGTAATATTTTTTATAAATTTCCTCACTGATTTCGTGTAATTTCTGAAAATATTAATTTTTTGAATTGAATCATTTTATAAATAATATACTTATGCAATATCTATAATGTACACATTTAATTCAACTATAATTTGAGTGTACAAACATGTATATATATGTATATATATAAATAGCAATATTATTTTTCTTTTTCCTCATTTACATTTGAATATATGTACCTACATACATACATACATCCATAACACACGATTTGTTATTGTTTATAATTGAATTTTTCAAGAAAATTTTGCTTAAATAACATAATATTTTAGCTAGTATTTTATATTATATTAATGTATAGCTAAAGATATATGTACATACATACATAGATATAAGATGTATTTGCACAAATGTTTCATGTATAACAGAATAAAAAAAAGCAAAGACAAAACGAGTGAATTATAAAATTTAAACTATTTGAGTTTATTTAATAAAATTATGTAAATATGTTTGTGTATAGAGTGGTAAAGATTAATGTGGACATCGAATAAATGATTAATTTTTTTGTATTTAATTTAATAATAAAAGTATTAAAAGAAAACTGTTTTATTATTTTATTTTACAAGCAATATTTTGTTCAAGTGATTTATTATTTACAAGTAGCTACCTAATGGTAGTGTAGTAATAATAGTAATCGTTTTGTTGCTATTTTTTACCACAACGCGTATATAGTAGCGTTTAAGTATTAAAAAGATGTGAAAAGAATTTTATTAATATTCTTAATAAACAAGTGAAAACTACAGTATAAAAGTTGTTAATTTTTTATTTAAACTATACTAAACAATATGTACTGAATATATTTACATTTATAATAAATTAATAGTACCTATAAATAATTTAAAAAATAAGGTAACCATACTTCCTAAATAAAAAGGAAAAACGAAAATTTACACACAAACAAATTTTGCGACTCGTTCAAATTAAGAAAGTTACAGAAAATAAATTATATACTTTTTTATTACCACGACTGTCAGAGGGATCAGTTCCAGTGTCCACTGTTGTATTCACAACAGGTATAAGATTTTAGTGTTACATTTTCATTTGTTTAAAAAAAATCATAAAAATAGTTATATTTTATAATAAAAGGAAATGCATGAATTAATACCTAATTCATTAATGAAGAAGAAATCATTTAACGATCGAGCATATAAGTATATTGGCATTATGGACAGGAACATTAACATTATGGAAAGAACAAATTATAATTGAAATATTAAAGGGTAATATACAAATATAAAATATAAATGAACACTGCTTATACAAATATTGTAAAAATATTACAATAATGTAATAAAGGGTGTGGATGATTTACTCTAAGAAACTACTCTAAGGAACAAATTATTTACTTTTATTTTTCAATAAATACCTAATCATTTTACCTAAAAGTTCATTGATCTGGGATAAACAGAATGAAGGTTTTAAAATTTTGATGAATTTCTCTTTTTTGAATTTTCATTAACAAATAAAAAAAAAACAAAATTCAAAGGTAATCAAATCAGTAATTATAAAAAAAAATTATTTCATACTTGAAAAATTTTTTCAAATATGACTAAAAAATATAATAATGAGCTGACGTAATGTTCAACCAAGTTAATAATTAAATTTAATGATTTTACATAATGTAAGCAATTGATAGTTACAATGAATATTCAAATCTATGAGCATGCGATTGGAGAAATGGAATAATTATATTAATAAGTTATTTATTAAACCTTTGTCATTTATTAAATCATTTCAATTTACATAGTATATTTTATAGTAAATAAAATTATGATTTGATCATAGAAGAATAAAGTCGTGAGAAGTGATATACAATTAGAAAAAAATAAAAAGTTTCAAAAATCAATTCACATTAGCAACAACATTGCGTTCAAAATTTGATGAAGATTCATTTGGAACAAAATAATAATTATGAATCTTAATATATTATAATAATAAAATTCATAAACGAAGTTCATTTCATAAATAAATATTTTCCATTGCGCTGATGAATGCTTTAAATTACCAAATACATAACTAATAACACTCAGTTTTCAATTGTTTAACAAAAGTAATGCGTAAATGTCTTGTATAGTTCTTTAAAAAATTATAATTTAAAATCAACTATGACATTCTAAAACAATCTTGACAATATTTTATAAACCATGACTTCAATTTTGCAAATAAAACATAAAACTAACAATGTCACATAACCCATGTTGCGGAAATAAATATTTTGTGTATGCATTTAGTTTGCATTATCTTCAATTGTAAACGTATTTTGTTTTTTTGACGGAGTAATTATTTTATTTTAAGTGTGACAATAAATTGATGATATCTAGTAAAAGTTCAAAGTTCTGATCCAAAATGTAAATTGAAACAAAATTATTCTATAAACATTGCTTATTTATATAAATGCATTATTTGTGTAAATTTTCAAATTAAGTTTGGAAAATGGATATCACGAAAATTGTGCGATTTACTTTATGCGAAAATATTAAATGTAATGTTGGAATATGTTGGGTAGGTTGTTAAGTGTTCTTATTAACTCATAAATTAGTCATTCCGTCTTTTTAAATTGGTATTTCGCTTTGGTAGTCTTATTATTATTTAGAATATATTAAATAATTTAAATTTTGAAAAAAAATATATATACTAAATCCTATGCTTATCAAATTTAATAAGAAACAAAATTTTCGTATAAAATAAAATATTTTATTAAGTGCGAGTCTCCAATATATATATATATATATTTTTTTTTTGAAAATAAAATTAATAACTTAAAATTAAAATGATATTTTTGATTTTTCTATTTTTAATTATACTGATTTTAACAATATTATTAATGAAATAAACATACTTATATATATTATTTTCCAATATAATATAATTTTCTGTTTTATTAATATTAAAAAAAAAATTTATCTCATAATTTTTGATCTTTTCATTTTATTTCATTTTCTTTTTGGAATGCAATTAAATTTAAATAAAAAAAAAAACAAAACAACAATAAAACAAATATAAAAACTAATTTTAAATTTAATTTTAAAACATTATAATTTTTTTCTTCAAATTTTTTATCCTATTTTTTAATTTTAACTTATATTAAAAAAAACTACAAAACAGTAATTGAAAAAAAAATATATATAGAAAACTATAAAATTCGTATATTTATTTAATTATTAATAAATACATTATTCTTTTTATATTATATAATATATATTATAATAATATCCTTAAAATACTGAAATAATTATTTAATATCGGTATATTTTCCTTTAACTAAATTTTATTGTATACATTTTAAAAAAGTATAAAATCTATAACATTTTGGACCCGTTAAAATAAGGCTTTTATTACTTTTATTTATTTAAATATTATTATTTTTTTGCAAACAATAATTTAAACATACAACATCATATTTAGTGGATATTTTGGTGGAAAAAAATTTCAAAAACTGATCATAGATTTTTATCCAGTCGAAAATTTTCAAATTTCGAATTTTGATATATGCATGTATGTCTATACATTATATTAAGAGTTTAAAATCAATGTGTGTTAACAAAATCAGTCTGTATCATAAAATGTTATTTCTGGTTTTTGACATAGCAAAATATTAATTAATTCTGGATATACATTTCAAAAGTTTCATAATTTATATAGATTCATCTATTTTCCAAGCCTATTTTGTAATCTTAATATTATACTATTTAATTATTTACTTTTGAAAGAAGATTTTATTTCGACTATCAGTAACGTAATTGAATGCTTAATTTTTAATAATTAAAATTTATTTGTTAACTTTAAATTTTTAGAACGCAATTCAAGGCGCTATAATGCTTCAAAAAAAATTAAAAAATGCAACATAGGCAGTGATAAAGATATTTTAAAGTTTTATGTTCCGAAGGTACTGATTCAGTTTTTTTTTTTAATTTCAAAAATTATTTAAATCAAATACTTATTATAAAAGTTATCAGCCATCTCACAATCAAAAATTCTATATGTATATAGACCATTTTAACAAAAAATAATTTTAACTTTTTTAAGAGTAAAAAACTAATATTTAATATTAAGTTATTCAAATATTTTTATATTCGGCATCTTATAAGATATTAATTTTTTTGTTATAAAATAGAATTTGACCGATTTATTTTTTAATTTAATTAACGAATGTTTTATGTTTTTTTAATAACGAAACCTTAAAACAAAAATACATACATATACCAAATTTTATTTTGAAAATTTTTCAAAATCAGTCTTTAGAAACCTTATTTGTTAAAGCAAATAACATTATATCTCATAACAATTATTCTCATAGAGTATTTTACATTTTGGAAATAAAATAATTTAATAAAAAACTTAAAAAAAAAATTCTATTTTATAAAATGGAAAATAGAATTACATTCAAAATATCATTAAAAACTCATGCAATTTTCAAATAAATAATTTAATTTTGTTAACAGCTATTTAATTTTTGAAAAAAAAGGCTAGACTAAATCTTTGTAAAAATTAATTGAGTATTTCTATTATGAGATACAATGTTATTGATAGAATTAAGCCAAAAACTATAGATTATTTCTATTGTCTTTGATTAAATTTATCATTATACATATTTAACTTATGTATATAAGGAATTTTTTTAACATTATATTATTTTAATTACATTAAATATTATTATGTAAAGCTTACATACATACATAAAATATTTTTCAAGTTTTTATTTTTTATTTTAAAAATAAAGCCACAATATTACATTTTTTTTTGATAACTTATACGATATTTTGTTTAAACAAATTATTTATCATCAGGACTTTCAATAAACATAGTATCGAAAAATATTTGACAAAATATTTCTGCAACTTTTGACATATGTCCAAATACTTTTGGTTTATTTCTCCATTTTATACATAAATAATAAACGGGAACACCAGCCAATGTAATAGCAATACCAACGAGTAAATTTAATGGATTTGTAAAACTTGGTAACAATACCAATATAATACATGAACAAATAAATATTATTGGAAGTATTAAATTCACTTTGATTGGACGTGGTAGATCAGGTCTAAAAAACAAAAATAAGAAATTAAAATTAATTTTAATATAAGAATAAAAAAAAAAACAAAATTTATTTTGCATACCTTGTTCTTCGTAACCATAATAATCCAGCAATACTAGCTACAACTGATAACCATAAAATTTGACTAAAATAATTGATGAGAACATAAACATTAGCAGTTAAAAGCATAGCTAATGAAATTACACACTGCAATTTTAAGAAAATAGAAAAAAAAAAAAAACATTTTTTGAGTAAACTTTTCTAAATTTCAAATATTTGCTGTTAAATTTCTTAACAAAAAAAAGAAAATATAAAAAAAAAAATTTTTTTTTTTGTTTACCGAAAATATTAAAGATGGTATCGGTGTTTGTTGTTTTCTATGATAAAGTGTAAAAAATGATGGTAAATGTCCATTTTGTGCACCAGTTGCAAATAATCTTGCTGATGTAAATATAACACCATTAACTCCACCAAATGTACTTAATGCAACAAATATTGGTACAAGCCATGCTAATGGTCCAAACATACGATTACCAAATGTTACTGCAACAGCTAAAGAACTTAACATTTCACTTTTTGAGACAACAGCAAAATATGCTAAATTAACTAAAACATAAATTCCAGTTACAAGTGGCATTGCAATCCATATAGCCCTTGGTAGATTCCTATAAATAATATAAAATATATATTAAAATATTTTTATATGTATAACATAATTATTTGTATAAATATATGTATGTATGTATGTACATGTCATATATGTATGTATTATAAAAAATCAATACAGTAAGAATATTGTGCTAAAGAATATTCAATGGAAAAGAGAATACAAAAAAGGATCAACAAGTTGCAGAAATAAAAAGTAAAAAAAAAAATTAATTTTATTTTTCCCTTTATTTTCAATTTTATCATTCTTCCTTTTTATATGCTAATGGGACCACTTAAGAATTAAATTTTCCTCTTTCAAGTTCAAAGAAAATAAGAAAAAAATTTATGGAAGACTGAATAGAAAAATATTTCAATGATTCTCATAAATCTTAAAGAAAAACTAAAATAAACTTTCAATTTAATATACAGAGTGCATTCTGGAAATGGTCCTTTTACACAATACAACAATTTATAATGTTTTTCAAATGCATATAAGAAAATAATTGAACTTCAAACAAGATTACAAAATTTTCAAATTCAAATCAAATAATATTGTTGAATTAATGCTGTTCGAACATGTTTTTGAATAAATTGTTAGACGACATATTATGCCATGTTTGATCATGCATTTTGTTTGAGAATCAAATGGCCTATTTTTTTTTATTTATTCATTTTTCGTCCATGGACTATGGTTTGGTTTGTAAGCGCTGCTTTATAAACGGCATTCGCGCTGCTGCTAAATTATATTTGAATTTTATTTGAATGAACAGGCACACAAATCAACTCGAACACATCTTGTACTTCAAATATTTTCTACGTAATATTATATGGCGTGTAGTATATTAAACGTAAATTTAGCATAATTCAGGATATTTTAACGTCAATCATTCATATACAAAACAGAATATATTTCTGAGAAAATATCAAATCGGGTGTAAGCAACAAGTTTTTACTTTGTACATATAGTATAAGATTTTATTTTATTATAATATTTAAACAAGTGTTTTATAAATTAAATAAAAAAAATGAAGAATTATTAAAATTATTTGCTTTCGAAAGTTTTTTTTTTATTTTATACATATACTTATATACTTATTGTACACAAGAGAGTATTATAAAAAAAAATTTTTTCATTTACGTAAAATGTTATATTTTTATGTAGATATTTATGTAGATTCTTTTATGAAAAATTAATGACAAAAAACAATAGTTATTTTCTTAAAGTGTTACCTACAAAGCCCTAATCTACAGAATAAGTGATTTGGAATGTAAAAATATGAAATCGTTGTATTGCCTCATTGTAAACATTACCAAAGCGGAGAACTACGGGCGATTTCTGTTTGTTAACCCAGAACATAAGTGGACAAAATCAACTGTTCGGTATTTTGCATATAGTGTCATACACACATGGAATCAAATTAGGTATTGAGGTAAATTAGGTCTTGAGAAATTCACGATGGTAATTTTAATTTTGAGCAGTCCAATTTAAATGTGTGTACTATCTATATGAATTCTGAGATTTCGCAACGGAAAATCACTATTGTTCTATTTTCAGCTACACTCGAAAATAATATAAGAATAATGTAAAATTTCAATTTTCAAATTATTTTTTCTGATTAACCGTTATACTAAATCGGTTTATTAAAAAATTTGACAATTATGATTGTTTTCCTAAACGGCAAGTCTGAAATATTAACAATTTTAATAGGTTTCTGATTTTAATAATAAATATGTGTATGTACATACCATATATATATAAGTACATTTCATTTTCTATAATTTGAATCCTTTGAAATAATAGCGTCAATAGTATTGTTTTCTATTATACAAATATTATGGTATTAGTATTAATATAATATAATAGTATAAGAAATTCTTATATCATATAAACACGGTTTGTTAACTATGAATAAAACATGAGGAAATAAAAATCTTCAGAATTTTTATATATTATATTTAAGATTAAAAATCATCACTCTTTTTCATTTTAATTAAATATATATATATATATATATATAGATCCATGGTATATCATCATAGAACATTGTTATACATTATATATCAGTGACTATACGAATATATGTACATATAATGTAAAAACATTATTATACAAAATAAATATTTTTCACCCACACTTTCATTGCATTTATACGTACGCATATCAAAAAAAATTCAATTTAATGCATAAGCAACTATATATATATAAATATATATATATATATATATATATATATATATATAGTATATATGCAATTATATATATATGTTGTATGTATATATATATATATATATATATATAGTATATATACAATTGTATATATATGTTGTATGTATATATATATATATATAGTATATATACAATTGTATATATATGTTGTATATATATATATATATATATATATATATATATAAATAATTGAATTGATAAAATGTCAAGGTGATTTCATTTAATTTTATCACAAATTCTATATTTTATACAGTAGAAGCTATAAGATGAATGATGAAGATGAAAGAAAGAAAAAGAAAAATTTTTCTTATATACACGCTTAATATCTATTTTAATTGAAATAAAAATAAAATAAAATAATCAATTTAAATAAAATAAATAGCTGATAAAAAATATAATTGAATTATATACAAAATGAATATACTTATGTACAAACCTGTATGGATCTTGTAATTCTTCTGTAACAAAATTTAAATAATTCCATCCGCCGAATGCAAATAAACCAGCATAAAATGCATATCCAATATTATCAATATTGTATTCACCATCCCACATATTATCAAAATTTTGTAAATTACCAGCCAACATATAATAAATACCAGCCAAAACAATTGTTATTAAAGCAATTAATTTTGCAGCTGTAAAAACATCTTGAATTTTCATTGACCATTTCACTGACATACAATTGATTGCGGTAAGGAAACCTTAAAAACAAAATAATAATATAAAAAAATATTAAATTTTAATCAAATATTTAAAAAAAAATTTTTTTAAATTTCTGCGTTATCAAAAAATCTTTTCAAAATTAAAAAAGATCATCATTTTATTTAATTTAATTATAAAGACATTTTATTAAATTATTTTTATTTATGACCCCTTAAATTTTTAATTTTTGAAAGTTTATTTAGGTTATCATACTTATATAGTGTGTTCTATAACTGTTTATTAGGCATAAAGCCGGAAATCAACATTGACTATCCTTTATTTTTATGAATGAAATAAACTAAATTAGCTTATTAATTATTTTTTTTTTATAAAAATAGCAAACAAATATAATAAGATGATAATTAAGTATATACATTTTTAAAAATAAATATATATTCTATGAATTTAAATAGTATTTCGAGATTAGGAGCTTATAATTTTCATTAGCAAGAAAAAATGTTATAATATTTTTTTGAACATAAGAAGAATGAGAGGTCTCAGTTGGCTGCTATATTAAAAAATTTTTCCTTAAACTTAACCAGGAACATTGAATTCCTCGGTAAAATTTATAGATTCTCTTACAAATCGAATCTTATTTTACATCACCATAACGTATGAATTTCCAGTACGTATTTCCAAATTTTTCGGAAGAAATCGTTTTGGCAATAAAAGGCCGGAATGTACTCGTACGTTTGTTGGGAGTGGAATTTATATGAAAAATGCAAAAAATATGAAAAATTGTATAGAATAAAATTTTTATAAGAAAAATTGAAAATTTCTGTCTGTCTGGTTATTATGGTAAAAAGGCAAGCTGTAGAAAATTCTGGTCTCATCAATCCGTGCCATGGTGGAAATAAACTTACAAATAAAATTTCATCAAAATCGGTTCAGCCGAACTTGAGATACACGCGTGCACACACAGACCGACAGACCGACAGGTTGCTAAAAATAGTTGATTTACACTTCCTTACTATGGAGAAGTACGTTTCCACCGAAAACTCGATATGCAAAATTTATTGCCATCACATAACCTACCTATTGTTTACACAATACGGTCGGTAAAAATTGTTCTTATTTCCACCTTATTCTACTCAATTAATCAAATAAATATTTAATTATTAAATATTAAATATAATTGGTTTTTTAATTTTTCTTTTAACTAAGATTATCAGTTTGCAAACATAATTGATTTATTGTACAAAAATAATTAATTATATACCATTCTTTTGATGTATCAATTGAATAAAATTTCAATATTATATAATATACTACATAAATTAATTAATATTATAATTAAAATAATTATTTTGTACATGTACCTCTGTAGAATTATTATAAAAATCTAATCGAAACTTTTTTTCGCATACTATTGTTGCAATATAATTGAAAACGACAAATTGATCGCCGAGAAGCAAATACATAATTACTATTTCCGATAACCGGAAATTATTTGTATATCGGTATGAATAATATAATGTACATATATACACTTATATATTGTATAGAGGTTATATGAATCTATCATTATGCGCACGGTAATATTTACATAGCAATTCCCATGAAAACTGATCAATTCGCAATTAAAATTTTTATCACAATAATTACGTATGTATCTGCTTCATTTAGCAATAATTGTAATTTTTTTTATTACAATTAAATTAAATTGCTATCATTGTTGGCATTTTGTCTATATGTATATACATATGTACCTACTTACAGATTATAACATTTTAATACAAACCTACAACATAATAATTCATTCATCGATTATAAAGTTAATGTTTGATTTATTGTTATTATGAAATAATTACAAATTTATTGAAATTTAGAATTGAATTCAAGTTTTGCATTTAGATTTTAGTACAGGTCATGGTCTAAACTCAATTGTAACATTTCTGCTCACATATATTTTACACATCCTATCAAACTATATACATATACATATGCAGATAATAATAAAAAGCAATCTAATTGAAAAAAAAAATCAATGTATGAGATACCTTAATATCCAAATTGTAATAATATTGTCTTATTATACAATTCAGCAATTAACACTTATAAGCTGAATTATAATAATAATATAATAAATGGGAATTTAGATGTTAGCAATAATGATGTACTCATACTATTTACCTGTACTCAAATTCATTTTAAATAAAACATAAATTGTAATTATTCCCGAACATAAATTCTTAATATTAATAATAGAATTATCGCTGAATTGATTGATGATTGAAATTACTGCATAAAATGGAAACCTAATTATCTATCATATATGTAAGGCAATATGAAAGAATTTTACTTATATTATCTCCGTTTCAGCCCTTTTAATGATTAGACTTATAAAACGATTATAGAAAATTATTGTTACTGTGAAATATGTCAATGTAACCCTAAAGTTACGGTAAAATCTTCAATACTTACATAAACAACCGGCAGCTAAAAGCTTAACAGCTAAATCAGGTGGTGAACAATCTTCAAAAAATGGTTTTGCAGCATACTGTGCAAATGTTAATGCAACAATTGTCTGAAAATATTTGAAAAAAAAAATTAAAGTTTATATGCAATATTTTTAAGTATGTGTGTACATAAATGTAAGTAAATTATTAAAAATATTTACAAAAAATTCATATTTTAAATAAAAATAAGACGTACAACTCAAATTGCTGAATTAATTGACGTTTAATCAATATTTTGGTATTCTTTCGGAATATTAAATGGTTTTGTGCATTTAATAAATAGACATTGATTGAGAAAAGTTAAAATGTCATTTTATTTGACATTAAATTCAATTAGCGTTGATTATTAAATTTAACATTATTGTTTTTTTAAATTTAAAATTTTTAATCTTATTGATTACCTACTGCATATTATGTGTAAAATCACGATTTGTTATATTTGTGGTTAAATTTAAACTAAAAAAAAATTAAGATTTTTTTATGAATAACCAAATAAAATTTTTCTTACTCAAACTACTTTATTAATTTCAATTTGTAATTCAAGCATCTAGCTATTGTGGCAATTAAATAAAAATCTCAGCCAAAATGATCAATTGTCATATACTTATATTTTAATATTTAAATAAAAATTAATATAGGGTACATAAAAAGAAAGCATACCTTAAATTAAATAAATGTAACAAGAACCGACTGAATTAAACCACAAAATAAAATTTTTTTCAAAATAAATTATAATAAAATTAGAAATTGAAAAATTGGAAATTACAATTTTTAATATATAATATTGTATTTATATAAAATTTCAGAATTTTTATAACAATTTGAATTTTATTATTTAAAATTAAAAAGTAACAAAATTTAAAGATACTGCTGCTGTAAACGATATATTCAATTGAAATCAAAAATTACTGTTGTGACACAGAAAATTATTGCTTTGAAAATAGTTTTTATTGCAATGAGAGAGATTTTAATTAAAGAGAGAAAATTCTTTTAAGTGTAAATATTCATGTGTGCATTAATAATTCGATTTCAATAACAAATGTAATCAATACCGATTTTAATGATTACAAATTATTTAAAAACTAAATGCATAACAATTAACAATTGATTTTTTCAAAGTTAAGAAATTATTATAGGAAATATCAATATGCGAAGATTAATATTAAATTATTCATGCATGAACATATTATATAGATATGTATATATGTACATATTTATTAGAAATCATTAACTGTGTTAAATGGGTACTTATAAACTGATTACGATTTACGAGTACGTATATGCAAAAGCATATTATGTGAGAAAATAACAAAAATATATTTTGTGCTCTCTATATTTACAACTGGTTTTCGTACTATTAATGTCTTTTAATAAAAGGTATTAATAACAAAAATTTCTAATATACATAAAATGCATAATGTAGGTTATTACTTTTACCACAATGGCTGATATAGTTTACAACACCCTATATTTCTACATACTTATATTATTTAGTATTAAATCTATACTACGTATAAGTACATTCCTTTTCCTAGTTTTGTTTTTTATTTTCTGCTTAATTGAACATTTGAAAATGATATCTGAGATTAGCAGATGTTTTTAATGCATCAAAACACAAACAAAACAAGGTTTAATAAATTATAATTCAACACAAATTAATTACAATTGATTTAGTAATGGAACTGAAAATCAAATCGTCTAAAATATCTCATATACATAGTTTTCATCGGTTTGTTAAACATAAGCATTTTATTTTGTGATTATTGTGACTTATTTCTAATCAAAAAATAAAAAAAAAATAAAAATTCATATTTTAATCGTAATAACATCAGAGACAACAAAAATCAATTAAAATTTTAGAAAGTATACTTTCATACATAGATGGCTTTTAAATTAGAAATTAAAAAAATCTTGATAATATTGGAAAATTTGTTGTTAACGTTAAGTTTTTGTTAAGCGCAGCGAAATGATAAGTTAAAAAGTTTTTGTTCTCAATCACAGTCTTGCGATGCATCGAATTCCAAAACATAGGAATATATCAACAAAGGAAATAGCAGGCCAGCTAATAAATCCTAGCTACAGATGTTTCAAATGCTTTCTTCCGCTTTGGATCTATATATGTTATATAAATGATTTCCAAAATACATTTAACTAACCAATGAACGTATACCAATTAAAGGATATTGAAAAATTTGAACAAGACATTAAATCGACCAAATTCGTGGTAATGACCCCTTTTTAATATAACAAAATTTGGTATGGTGAACCGGATATTGGCCAGTTTGAATTGCCAGTGCGAACATGCGGCTAAAAATACGTAGCGACGTAATTGTCAAGGATGTGTATAAAATAGAAATATTCTTTTATTTTACACACATCCATAAATCTGTTTGAAGCGCAATCATCACCTCATTTCTTCATTTTCTCAATTGTAGCTTTCGAAAGAGCATGGTAATACTGGTACCAGTATATGAATGCATTAACTGCACTAAAATATTTTTAAGTATAAAAGTACGGTACCTTAAAAAAAAAAAATAATCTGAAGAGTAAACCTTATGGTTGTCAAAAACAATTTTTTTTTTGTTATCTTTAACTAGAATAATAAAAACATTTTTGATAATAATTTACAACACTTTATCAAAAATATGTCTATGAAAATAACAAAAGAATAATAATTTTGGTAAATTTTGCTGTACAATTATCTTAGCTGAATTTAAATCTCATATAGTAAAATAAAATCCATAATTTATGGAAATTTAAAGAATGAACGTGCACACTCACTAGGGTTATCATAAAAAGGTGGCCATAAAAAACTTGAAATAATTCAAAAATATAGTTAATTTATTCAAAAAATTTTTGGTTTGAAAATTTTGTAAATTTCAATTATTTTATTGTTGGATGACAGTCCAATTAAATTTAACAAAAATTTTATTTTTAACTGAGTTTTATGCTGTTCATCTATTATTCAACTTGGTCCCTCGACATGTTAAAAACATAGAAAGTTTTTAACACGATGAATTTTTAGTGGATTAGTTGATTAACCATTTTTGATGGTTGAAACTTGGTTAAAGAACATATTAAAAAATTGTAATTATATAGGCATAGTTTTAAAAAAAATTCATACTTGAGTGGCGTATTTTGATTACTCGTAACGTCTTTTGTTAAAAAACCAAATTGAATAGTGGATGAGCTGCATTAGAGTCCTGTAAAATGAAAAGCAACAACAAAATTTCTGCAAATTAATTCAAAACGTAATAAATATCCAGATCTTGCTGCAATTTTCTAATGATCGAATCACCTTATTATTTTCTATTATAGCGACATCTATATGTTTCAAGCTATAAGAGAATTTCGTAATATTTGACATAAGAAAATTTTTGTGTCAGTAGCAAATTTTAATATATTTAATATTCTATTGCATAATAGGCATGTACATACATATATATATAAATATAATATGTAAAAAATTTTCAATTTAATTTTTTGTCAAACTTAATTTTCACTTCTAATTCTACATTCCCCATTTCATTATCTAAATTTCATTATCATTTTCTCATTCAACAAGTTTTTCTTATTTAAGTATGTTGTGATGTCATTATCTTTAGTGAAAAACATGATTGTGTCGCCAACAGAATATTTTTTTTTAAAAAATATTTTCCTATATATTTGTTTTTCTTTATATTTTATTGATTAAAATTTAATTATGTGTAACATTAAAAAAAAAAACAAAGTGTTGATTGAAATTAATGGAAAAAGGATTCTTTTTTTATTAAATGACAATCAAAATAAAATTAATTTTGTATATTCTAAAAATTGATAGAAACGCACAGTATATTCTTCTTTATATATGTAGGTTTTCCCTACAAAAAATAAAAATTAAGAAGCCTTAATTTATTAAATAAAATTTATAAAGCCAAATTAAAAAAAATGTATAGTGTATGTAGTAAATATTTAGTGTCAATCATTGTTCTCCAATGGAACCACTTTAAAAGAGACTCCGAAAATTTCATATGTGGTGTTCGTAATACAGATATTTTACATAATCTATATAAGAATAAGAGTTCACCGTTCGAAACAAGAAAAAGTACTCCTATGTCAAACAAATTCTTTATTAAATAGAGATGTTTATTATATTGTATTGAGTAATCCTTATATGGAATGCCGTTAACATAGACCTTATTCAATTAACAATTTAAAACGTTAGCAAATGATATTTCAATTAATCATATAAAATAATTTTTTTAAATTAAACAATAGTTTTACAAAAATTATTGCATATCGAGTGGAAACGCACCATATTGAAAGAAAGTCAAAAATCATTCAACATTATGCAATCATAGACAATAAAAAAAATTTAAGAAATTAAAACACACTAATTAGTCCATGAGGTTTTATCCTTTCCGGCATAAGACAGTATTGACATGAGTGTTGTCGATAATTTTAAATTGGTTTTCTTATTGTCTAATTTTGTTCAGAGTAACTTCGCAATGAATAAAGCTAAATTTAAATATTTTGTTAAAAACTAACCTCAAAATTATAATTAATTTGAAAATTTTCTGCGTTTTATTACCTCATATTAATGCGTAAAACTGACAATTTTCTCTAATTTAATACTTTTTAATTTAATTTAATTTTAATTTTATGTTTTTATTATAAATAAATAGACATATCAATGCTATTCGTTTGACATAAATTAATTTCAATTTAAAGAAAACATATTGTAAACAAAATTTCTCAATTAATTGATTTTGCGAACTTTTTAACAAATAAAAAAAAATAAAAATCATCTTAATAACTCAATTGTGAAAAACGGAAACAATTTTAATTGATTGTATTCTTATAGTTAGAATCAATTTAGCACCATTTCCTTCTTTTCTTATATAATATTCGCGCCCTCGTTTCATTCTTAATTTGTCATAATAGTAATTGTAAGAATGAAATTTAAAAAAAAAAAATTTTTTTTATAGAATTAAATTATAATGTTTAGAGAAATTGAATTGGAAATTCTTAGATGACAATATTTTTAATAAATAAAGATGAAATTGAAAAATACAAAAAAATTGTTGATTATATAATATTGTTAATATACTTTTATATGTGTTATATATGTATAGATCTTATATATTGTACAAGCATATAAGATAACATAACAATTTAGTAATTGTTAAATTGTGTAGCAATACAGTATTACTTCGATATTTGAAACATAAATATAATAACAGCAAATTAAATACTCACATTGTAATATATGGATTATTATTTGAAATTTTGGCTATTTAAAGTAATAAATGATAGTCATATTTTTATATCATTGTAATTCTAAAGGACAATTGGACAACTATTTGCGCCAAATATTTTAACAAAATAACTTTGCGTTGAATATTTTAATATGAAATTTCTACTAAAAAACGATTGTTTAATATTGAGTAGATTGATAACACAAATTACAATTTCAATTTAACTGCTTGAAATATTAAAATGCAGAATTCAGCTTATAAATTCCAATAGCCGAATTTTATATCGATATGGTATTAATAAAATTCCGATGTCAGGGAAATTAGGGATTTTTATTTTGAATGAAATACCCCGAAGTACAGCAACCCTGATATTTGTAATTGTAAATACTAAGTAGTGTTACCAAGTGCTTTCAAGTAATTTAGCAATTATTACTATATAAACGAAATTCTGTAATAATACAATGTTGTTGAAATTTCAGATGTCAGGGTCTTTGTTAATATATTAAAAGTAAATACAAAGTTTAATATGATAAATACAAATATAGAAATACTTCGTTAAATATTTAGCTATTTTCCTCTCCAATAATAAAAAATTTAAGAATTCATTATGAAAATAATTAAAATTGTCTATATTAAGAATAATAAAAATGAATTAATAAGAGAATTTTGAAATTTCAATTTCAATTCAATTTCATGAATTATTAATCCAAATACAAGATGAAAATTGGTAATTTTTTTATTTTTGCACAAATATATTTAAAATTTGAGAAAAAAGAATTAATTGATTTCAATGTCAAAAATATTTATATTAATGCTAATTTTAAAAAATATATTTTATTCATATACATAATGTAAATATTTATTTTTGTGCAACTGGCATGTTTACATAAAATTTAATAAATCTTTCTACTGCTCATAAGTTCCACTTTGCAATTCAATATTTATAAAACTTAAAAAGAAGGAATAAGTAAGTAAGTAGCAAAGTTTTTTGAATAACCATTAGCCATACATAAAATTTACATATGGCTAACGATGTACACATAATAATTTATTCATTATTTTTTAAATTCTAACTAAATCTCTTACATAATAACAACAGAAACGGGAAATTGTTTTTTTGTAAAATAATAACAGTTCACGATAACTTATTTGTCAGTTCACGATACTTATGTAATTGTCAGTTTTAGTATTTAATTATAAAATATTTTTCGATTTCATTTTTTCATCATACTTTTATTATAAATCAAAAATTATACGTTGCAAAAATTTAACAAGATTGCTAACACACTTAAGAAATACCATTTATCGGAAACAAGACATTCAATTATAAATAATTTGAAAAATTGAAGTGAAACCTTTAATTACTAAAGAAAAAAATAAGTAGAGTTTTCATTATGTGAAATATTCCGATAATCTTACAAAAATATAAATTAAATACAATTCAATTTATTCCAATAAGGAAAAAGTTGATTGGGGTCAGTCGCATTACATATACCAAAACCAATTGAAAAATTGTCGCATTTATCATTTCCACTTATGTTTTTGTTTTTGGTTTGTTTAATTTTTTTTTTATATTATTGATTTAATTTATAACCGGAGATAAATAAATTATCAATTGATATATTAGTGCTGTAATTGTATGTTCAATTTGTATAACATTAAAAAGACATGTGTACATTTCGTAGAGAAAATCTTTGACATTTGAAGAAAAATTACGGTTTTTTTTAATATATGGAAATCTTTTTGGTAATATGTATGTATGTATATGTAATTGTAGCTTTTTAAAATTACACGATTTTAAATTTAGAATTGATAAATCAACTGATTAATGTATGACAGTTGCAATATGTGAAAATAATTCCTCACTCAATGATTTCTAATATGTATAATATTTGTTACATACTAATTAATAATTTGAAAGCCTCGTTGCCTCTGAAACTGTCATATCCTTAAAGTTAAATAGCAAATCAAACTAAATCAATTTAGCGTTGACAACTGTAATGCACAACGCATAAATTGTCAAAAATACAAATATGAAGAACCTCAAACACACAAAAAAAAATCAAATTTAAAATTATTGGACTTTTTCCTTCCCAGTATTAGTAGTTTATTAATTTACCGTTATAACTGATTTAGATTTTTGTTAGTATTCTGAAAATAAAAAAAAAATAAAAATATAACGTAATGAAGAAATTACCTGTGTTGTTGGTCTAATAATTAATAAAGCCATCCATAATCTAAGAAAACCAACTAATGGACCAAAAGCAACATATAAATATGCATAATCACCGCCACTTCTTGTTATACAAGTACCCAATTCAGCATAACATAAAGCTCCAATTGTTGATATAATACCGCATATTAACCAAACGACAAGTGATGTACCAACGGATCTGTAAAAAAAAAAAATAATTTAATAAGTATTGTAAAAATTTACTAAATATTTTTTTTTTCCAATTATGCAAGCTAGTATCAGTCATTTACGTGTTGACTACAAGTATTTAATTTGCCATACATACAAGTAATTCTGCAGCTCTTTTGCAAAAATTGAAATATTTAAGTAAGATAAGGTAGCAAATTTTAAATTGTCTTACATTTGATTAAATCATTTGATTCTTGTAGCTAAATCACAACTTAACTTGAATTGTAACTAGACTTGAAATTGCTATTAAATTTTTCTCATATTTTAAATATGCAATTATTCAATTGATTCAATAACTGATTTGTACATGTACAATGTATGCCGGCACCACATTTCACATCAAAGAAGTGCATTTAACAGGAGAGCAATTTAAAAATTTACTGATGCATGCAATTTAAATCCAATTTAATACTTACAATGTAAATAAATTATTCAAATTATTCAATGTAAAATGATTCGATAGTCTAACGAATCAAATTTAAACACAAATTTAATTCCAGTTACTTAAGTAATTGAAAAATAAGAATACATATTTAGTAAGTCAACATTTAATAGCTATCGCCATTCCAGTAAAAGATATATTAGTTAGTATGTAAGTAAGTGAATTTATTTGGTATTAAAAAAGTTTATTCAACAACTTAAATTCTCCAAAAACTTGTTCCAGAAACCAAATTTTTTAAGTAAATAATTGTAATTTATTTTTGAAAATTCTTGATTATTCTTGAAAATTAGGCTTTACTTGATTTCGTGAAAAGCACTCCTTTACATGTTTTGCTAGAGTGTGGATATTTTCTTATGTATACTCGTACCAAATTTAATAAACTTTCCTACTAAATGTTCTGTGATTAAGACAAAAATTTATATATGTATAAAATAAAATAATAGAAACTTACTCTGTATAAAAGAATACACCAGTTGGTGATATAAAAATTCCAGATCCAATAATAGTACCAACAATTATTGCAACACCATTCATTAATGTTAATTTACGTTCTAATACAACTTTTTTATCATCACCATTTGAACCATCATCATCATTACAATTATTATATTGATTAAATTCACCATTCTGATCATTATTTTTTATAGAGGCTGCTGTTGCATTTAAATTTGATTTTCTTTTTAAATTATTATCAGTGTTATCGCAACCATTTGTTTTATTATTATCATTTATTGAATGTTTATTTGTGTCACTATTTGATTCTTTATAACCAGCCATTTTTTACATATATTTATTTAATTCTTTAATTATACCACATATAAATTGAAATTATAATTAAAATTATTAATTTAAGTAAGTATAAGTATAAGTATTTAAATTTATTATTAAGTTTGTAATTATTTTTTTTATTCTTTCCTTCATGTAAATATAATTAATTACATAATAGAAAACTTTATTATTTGACCTAGTTTTTTTTTAATTTTCTTATAAATTTAATTTTCTTAATTTTAAAATTCATTTTAATAATTTTTTTCAATGAACAAACAAGTTTTACACTGATTTAGTCTATATTATCACTTTGAAATTATCTCTGAAAAATAAATGAAAAAATTATTAAATTTAATATTTTATTAATTCCAATTAAAATTTAGTAGTTATGAGTATTAAAAGTAATTTTTCTATTGAATAATTCAGAATTAAATTAATTCTAACTCGAATATATTGAGTTTCAAAAATACAAATAGTTATAGGGCTTCTATTTCAGTACAAGTCTAACGTTAACTTCATCTATTCAGCAACACAGTCAAATTTGCATTTAAATGTGAATTTTTACATTGTTAAAATAAAAACTTTAATTAGGTTAAATTTTTTATTAATAATTTTAAACAATTGTTTCTCACTTCAATGATACAAATTTAATCCGTAATTAATTTATTTTCAAACGCCATGAATTCAAATAAAATAGTTCTCCTTCTTACACTCTACAATAACCCATACACCACAATTGTTAAATTAAAACTATATTTTTACTTTGCAGAAACAAAATTTTTCTATTTACAATTACAAAGTGACACAACAGATAAGTAAGCAAAGAAATGGTATGGAATGGAGTGTGATAAAAAAAATAATGATTATAGAAACAGCATAAGTAGTAAGTATGCAGTAAGTAAGTAGGTACCAACCTACCTATTTAACTAAGTCATGTTATAAATATTAATCTTTATGTATATTTAGGCAGTTATCTTATGTGCGAATGTAATTTAATATTATAATAAATATGTAATTATATATAAATTGTATTTTATAACATAAGATGTTAACCACTGTATTTAAAATATCATTTAACATGATATGCGATTAAAATAATTGCAAAGACCACACTTTATTTTATGATAGAAAATTAAAAAAAGACTAAAAGAGAAAATTTAAAATATTGTATATATATAGATATGTATAGGTATGTATGTATGAATATATGTATCTTAATATGCAAGGATACAAAAAATATGTAAGTATTAGGCACTTACTACAACAACGTACCCATGCAATTATGCACAATTAAGCAAGTACCTTACATATAAAATTTACAAATCTATAAGAGTAAATTATTTATTTTGTTGTTATCATTGGGATAAGAAGTGTAAATTTTAAAGAAAATCCATCTAGAAATAAAAATGATAATGTCAAATAATTTTGTCACTACGCTTAAATGTGGAGATACCTACACATAACGTTTAAAATATTATCGAATTCTGCTTCTTATATTAAAAAATCTTTGTTATACTTGAAATTGTATAATTTGTACCCATTCTTAAATTCTAATTATGTACTTAGTGAAAAATATTCAATGAATCAAGCAAGTAATCTATACAATTAACAGAATGTTTTCCTTTTTAAATTTCATTACTTACTATGTAACACAATTTTTTATCGTACGATCATAAAGGTTAGTATAAATTGCAATTATATATGTACATACTGATTAAGTGCCTTATTTAGTTACATGAAGCTTAGAAGCCAATAATATTATTTGTGTAAAAATTCTTAACTCATTCCAAGTATACCTATAATGGCTAAGTATTTATTATACAATGTGAAATGTAATAAAAATTATGTGTTTAATAATCTATTGAGTTTGGGTAGGTAGGAACCTAGGTACCTACATTAAAACACACAATAATTTAAAGCATTCGAAATCAAGAATTTCGAATATTTTACAATAAGTAAAATGTTCGAGATTCATTAAGTACAAGTATAAATTACTAAAGATAAATAATTAAAGGAGAATAAATTATTTTTAGTCTATTTAATTTAGTTTTGTTATTCTTTGTTTTAGATAGATGTACGTATACAAAAAAGCCACAATATGAAAATTCATTCTGAAGTCTGAAGACGTCTACTTATAAGAAAACCATTCTTTTATAAATAATGGACTTTTTCTCCTCTGTATATGATTTATTATGGTACAAAATGCAAATAAATACATACTTAATTTATAACAACTTATTTTTATAATAATAAATAAAGATTTCATTAAACTGCGTATAGTTCACTAATCTAGATAAAATTATCGCATTCATTCAGATTACTAAAAATATAAGTAATTGCAATCTCATTGTCATTTGTTTGGCCTCCCTCTGTTTTTATAAAAGAAAAACAATCTTTTGTTTTTCCTGAATATTTTCTTTTTTCTTAGATATTTTTAATTTTTATTTATGTAAGTAATTTAAAGGTAAAAATTTTATTATGTTTGAAAAATAAAATTAATATATTACAGTCATAATAACAATAAAAACCATGCTTATCGTTTTAAACCGCTCACACGCGGTTTTCTTACTCGCTTTGATTACACAGTTCACACTCTTACACACCTTTATATTGCATTTTGTATTGCAAAGAAAGTTTTATTTTAATTGCTTTTAACACGAGCACTACGAACATTGAAAGACCAAAGAAAAAATATAAAACACTAAAATAAGAAATACTCAAATATGCTTTTACTAAGATGCAAAAAAAAAAAAAAAAAATTCATTTGAACCGATATAACCTTAAATGCCGGTGATACTGGGTTGGGTACCCAATTATCTAGGGTATCATTATTTAATTTCTTACAATTTACTTACTTTACACAATAAACACTTATAAAATTCTTTTATATTAATAAATATAAATTATATTTTTATCATTTTATTCAATTATTTTTCTTTTTAAATTGAATTTAATCAGGCATTTTCTAACCTTAAAAAATATTGAAAACAATAATGAAAATAATTTTATTTGCACAACAAAATTTATTAGAACTTTTCAATTTGAAATCCGAAAGAATACTGAACGCTGAACTTGAAAATAAAAAAAACTTTTTTAATATTTGATTTGATTTTTGTCTAGGCAAAAATGTCCTAAATATTTTTTTTTCTACATCCACACTTTATAATACTTAAGTGCTAGCAGCAATTCGCACAGCTTTCTTTAATATGAGAATTAGTTTATTTTTTGTTAAATTTTTTTGTTCTCTGTTCTCTATACATATTTGCTTTTATTCATTTTCTCTTATTTGCTCTTAATCTAATACAAACATATACATTTATACAAATATACTTTTTTAATCAATTTCTATTATTTTTATTTTGCTAACTACTCAGTGGTCGGCAACCTCCACTATTATAGGTGAAGAGACATTTTCAAAATAAAATATTTTATGCGAGCCGCTTATCGAAATATAGCTTATATAGAAATGAGATTCATATTATTTTATCATATTCACTTTTGTGTTTCGGGTCTTAATGGCGACTCAAATTAAATTCTTTGAATATAAAATTATAAATTCAAATGAAGCAATTCCAATTTCATTAAATTTGGAGATTTTCTTTGGTATTTCATTAATTTTTCCAATGATAAAACATTAAATTATGTTACATACCAATAAATTAACAATACCATGTATTTCTAATTAGGTCATTACTTTTTTTAGTGAAATATCATACGTCAGTAAATTTGAACGTGTTATGTGTAAAATTCTTATATAAAGATGTAGCAAATAAGCGAATGCTACATTTTCTAGTGATGGAACGGGGATTAAAAGAACTATTCCACTGAACTTCTTTTAGCACCCATTATTCCCACCAATCACATTTTCCTACGTACAAAGTTGTTGACGTGTCGTGCAAAGGGTTGTTGTCGCGCCGCAAGATAACGACCCCTGGACTTCTTTGTAGTTTTGGTGTAGTGTAGTGCACTACTCGTGTTTGATACATATTTCAATGATTAAAAAAAATGTGATACGTTTAAAATGAAAGTAGAAGCGAAAATTGTAAAAAAATTGTAAATTTTTCTTTTTTATTTATTTGTTACAAACAACAGTGCAAAATTTTTAGACTTCTTTGAACCGTAACATTTTTATAACAGAATAGATTGTAATGATCATTATAATAAAAAAATTTTTTGTCGAAATAAGACTTTATGATTTGTACAGTAAAAATTAAATTTATAAGCTGAATTGTCCCTTTGGCACTTAAAGTAGTTTTTGAATTCCATTTTTTGTGTCCGTTTTGATGCTCTTTTAGTAAATAAGTAACACTAATGTAACACTTGTTTAATATTTTTTGTGAAATTTATTGAAAATTTAAAAAATTTCATATTTGATTAGTGGCTTATATATATTTTGTATGTATAATAGGAAGCTTTAGATTTTTCTTTATTTTGCATAATCGGTTATAGATTTACCAATTTAAATTTTTTTAAAACGACAGCTCTGTTCACAACATAAAACGCAAAATACATACAATCATTAAAATTTTCTCTCGATAATACTTTTTCCTGTTTCTCTTCAAATATTTCTTATATAGAGATATACAGAAACAGTTACGTTACAACAGCCATCATAATTCATAGCGCGATAACCATAGCATAGAATATATGTATAAGTATACTACACAATGTACAATGTTCGTTTAGCATAAAAAAATCTCTATACGAGAAATACACAGAAATACTGAGTGATAAAAGGTAAATTTATAGATAAAGTAAGAGTGATAACAATCAGCGCATGTCTTTCTTTCTCTCATTACGTCACTCATAATAAAACATAGTGAACTACATATTTTTCTACGAATTGAATACATTATGACTTATGAGTATGAGAACATAAAATTTCATAAGCAATTTTCAGCACACTAATGTGGTAGCATATACATACATACATACGCGTGTATATGCTACAATAATTATGTCAGATAATTGTTATACATAGTACATAGATATAATAGTATTTATGCAATACATATTAATATAAAATGAAAAGGAAATTTGTAGGAAAAAGTAAAATATGAGATAAATATTACGCTAGATCTTAGTGAGATATACGCAAAATAAAAAAAAATGTTATATTAAATGAACACGACATATTTGTTATCATGAATCATATAGATCACGTTTTTAGAAATCTAAGTAAATATAGAATTAATTATAGTTAACATGCATAACATTTTCAAAAAATTTTAAAAAATTTTTGAAGTCTTGCCATAACGCTCTTAAATTAATTTTCTATTTTATCACTCTATTAATGTTTCAGGTGTTTAACATTTTAATTTCAAAGCAAAATAAGAAACTAATTACATCTGTCATATTTGACAGGAAATAGTTAAAGCTGTAAAAAAGTTTAATTTAAATGAATTTCAAAAAAAAATTCTCAAACTCAAATTAAGTTAAATATTAAAATTTAATTTTTCAACAAAAAAAAAAAATTTACTACTTTTTATACTTTTGTCGATAGGTGTGGAGTAGTTGAGTAACTACGGACTGAAACCAAAATTTCGACGCAAGTCCTTTAAACTGACCTTTAATTAGTCTATCGAGAGCTCAAATTTATTATCAAATAACGAGTTGATGTACTCGGTTGAAGGTGTAGTCGACCAGAGTCGCAGGTTGTTTCAAAAAGATAACAATTTTTTGTTCAAAATTTTAAAAAACCTAAAAAACTTATCACATTTTCTTTCAATACATAATTCTTATAATTTTAAAATTATACAAATTAGACACAACTGACCTTATTGTTATTACATTACTAAGTAAACATTACAAACTAAAAGAGTTGTCAGAAATATTTAACGATTACGGCAAGTACATACGTTCAAAATATAACAAATATTCTTGTATGTACATTTTTTGAACCAAAAAATTTTTGTAATTTACCTGTGGACATGCAAGTATATATGTATGTATACACTTGTTCCTTCACTTGTTCTACAAAATACACCTTTAATTTAATCTAATTAAAATAGATTTGTAAAAAAACACGCATATGTATAATAAATAACATTTGAGACAAAAAAAAATGTGATCAGTTAAATAGATAAAATATTTTTATGAAAAAATTCCTATTAAAGCGTATTTGAAAATCAATTGGCGGCAATGAGCAAAACAAAAAAAAATAAAAAGATTTTTGGAATCATTAAAAGATCTTTGACCCTAAATCAACGTAAGCAATTATACACACAGAGTTATAAGTATTAACAATTTACATTAGAATTTGTGTTACATTCCCATTACAACAGTATGAAATGTTCAATGTATTTAAAACTTGTTATGAAAAAGAGAAAAAAAAATAAAACTATTCAAAAAATTTTTACGTTTACTTTATTTTTGGCTCAACAAAAAATTTTATTTCTAAAATACGCTACTAGTCTACACAATATCTTACGAAATAAGATCAGATTCTATTAAATTTAAAATGTGCAGTTAATATTTGATATTTGTAATTTTAATAACATGCAAGGAACAGAATAATATTTTAAACATATTAAATTTCAAATTCATTGAGAATACTTGCAATTTTAATTCATAACATTTTTGTAAACACCGTTAATTTTGTGTCTTTCATTGAGTACTTATATTAAATACAATCATCTTCTATCTTTAAATTAATTTAAAACAAAGCCGGCATTTAAAATAATCTAGAATTTACTGTTAAAAAGGATATAACTAAATGTTTTAAACTCAAAAATTGAGTACAAAAACAAAAACAAATCTCTTCTCAAAATATTGTCCTTTTATAACATAACAATTGTAATTACATGCTCATCTGTTCTCATGATAATATTAAGAGAAAATTTACATACTTATAGCAAATTTTCAGTTTCAATTTCAGACATTTAATAAGAATGTTGTGTTAAATTATTAATTTTTTATTTATAAAAATAATTTGTAACAGAAAATTTCACATAAAATTGAAAATTTTAATTAGAAAATGTGTGGGTATTACACATAAAATTTTATTTTAATAATTGCATAATATATTCTAATTGACTCAATATCTCATTTATATTGTTTGTACAAGTACTCGTTTGTATGCCTGCCTATTAGTATAAAATTTGTTATATGAAACGTGCACTCGATATTCTTATTTAAATTTACATATATGTATGTATTTACATATGTACTCATAATGTATAAAACAAGGTTAATAACAGAATAATTAGACCATATTAAAATGAACTTTCTTTTATTTTTTTTTTTTCAAATTTTTTAATCACTTTTCAAATATCTTATTCCTATTTAAATTTTAATTCAATTAGTAAAAAGAACGCATTTCAATATTACATTTTAAGCTGTTATACATAGTTGAGTGTCACATATTATGCACATATGACAAACGTATTATACACTTATGTATGTGGCAGTGTGTCTTAAATACATACAATTGTTATTGTTATTTTAATATCTCACTCTTTTTATTCATTTATGTATATATTTTGATAATATTGTAAATTTACCACGTGCCTTATTATTTTTTTTTGTCATAAGCAAAAACATAAGACCGCATTTGAAACAAAAATTATATTTTATAAGTTATTGCACTTATACTCTACTTATGTTTAAAAATAAAATATTATGCAAGTAGACTTATTGAAAATAATATGAATACTCAACAATTACACACATGTTATACTAAGGTATGCACTTTTATAAATATTGTTAAAAGTTATATTAAAAATTATTCGTGAAATTTGAGTAAAAAATATTAAAATTTTTAAATAATAAAAAAAAAATTTTTGTTTTTTTTTTTTGTTAGGACTGTCTGAGTGAGTGGTTTCGCAATTACTAAAAATTGTAATGGCAAAATAAAAAAATTTATATTTACTCTGCAATGCAATACACTATGCAAGCCGGCGAAAAAATTTCGTCAGCACTTTAAAAATTCAATTTTTTTCTGTATGTGTTATTTGTTTGCACACACATAAAATTTTTTTGCCAAAAAAAAAATTTGTTATAAATTATTTTTTTATTTCTTCTTATTCGAAATGTGAACACTTAAAGAGTTGAAAAAATACTGTGCTGTTTTCCATTGTGCACCTTTAATTTTTTTTCTTTTTACATTTCACGTTTTTTTTTTCTTATCTATTATTATTATTATGTTTTATATATCGAAAGTATACTGGCATAATATATAAAATTTACAAATACTATGCTAAATCTTTATATATAGAGAAATAATTATTGTTATAAAAGGTTGTGTATAATTGCGTTTGTTTGTCAAACAAAAATTATGTACTTTAATTCAAGAAGAAACACAAATTATCTGTGACTCTCTGTAAACACGCTGCATGCAAAGGAATATACATTACATACATATACACATGTATAATTTTGGATCGTATATATATACATATAATACATTTCTATTCACATAATAATTATTAATTTCGGTTGTTATGATAAAAGCGCACGCGTTCATTTAATTATTATTATAAAATTTACTCACTTTTCAAATTCAGAGAAATTTACATATGGATATGTTTATATGTATGTATATACATAGATAAATACATTATATATTTTATTTTAATAATTTTTCCTTTCCTAACACATTTTTTTCTTCAATATTCAATCTCCGGAAGTACATATCTACATACCTTCAAACAATAATATTATTTGGGTTAAAGAATTTTTTGAATTTTTTATATTTTAAGAGTTTTTAAAGGTAAATAATTTCTTAATAATTTTCTAAAAATAATTTTATAAGTATTCAATATTTTAAAAATCAAAAATTAAAAATTTATGTGAAAATAATGTAGATAATTAGATATTTTCTTTATAAATTTTTATATTAATATTATTGACTGTATTAATTTTAGTTATCCTAAATTTATGCAATATTATATTATGCCAAAATACGTTAGGTAGTTTAATTTTTTTTATTTAACACAACAATATACACATATCATACTCAAATAAATTTCTCTCTTATCCTAATATCATATGTTGCACGAACATTTTGTTGCACATACATGGTTGTATACAGTAAAATATGTAATAATCAATCTTATTTGATCAACAACAAAAATCTTTTTAAATTTAAAAGGTGCATTTAGGTACATACAAAAGTAATGACAGACAATTTTCGCTGACGGTAAATTTTGATTGTCAATTATTTTAATGAAATTCTAGATTCTTTGTTAAAAATTCAATTCCTGTACAAAAATTAAATTGTATACTTCTGTTAAATATAATTTGCTTTTTAAATAAAGAAGTATAATGTAAACAATGGTAATTTTAATATGATTAAAAACAATGGTAAATATATATTTATCAAATCAAAAATACAATATTAAAAGCTACATATAATCAGATATGTAGATAATTGGAGCGAGTACTGATGTGCGTACATAATAAAGTATAAATATCTGTCTGGTAGGTATAACAATATAAATTTATACACATGATGCAAGTGTTCTACATTAATAACACTTTTTTTACTATACCAAATTAGTATGTAAGCATTATAATAGAGTAATATAATTATTTTATACACTTTATATACTATATCTAAATTATATTTCCTACATACATACATACACACATACATTACATCTATATTTCAATTTTGAAAGGAGCCTGACCAAATATCAACTGAAAGAAAAACTTTTAATAAAAAAACTTCTTCTTTTTCAATTTTCGTGTTTTCTTTCCACGAAAATGAAATTTATTTTCTTTCAGCTAGAAAAAGACAAAAATTTCTTTTAAAAAAAACGAGTGAAAAAACATACAAAAATATTACCGGTGTGTGTCTTTCAAGTAAAACGGAATGAATCATCAGCGATATTTCAACTATGATTTACTCGATTTCATTAGGCGCTAAGAAAAATCAAGAAGAAAAAAAGATTCAATATAATTTTTTTATTCATAAAAGTTTATAGCACAATTGCTTGAAAGACACTGGATTTATTTTTTGTTTTTTTATTACTAAAATATAATTTTTCTCGCTGGCTTAATGTCCACATTTATATATATGTATATAATGTATGTGTGTGTGTGTATATATCATATGGAAATGGAAATGGAAATATTGATACGAGTATACGACACATACATATGAGAGCAATACCTATTATGTGTTATATGTGAATATGTAGATAAATTGAGATAAATTCGTGTTAATTTAAAATTGAATAATGAATTTCTGAGACTCGGATTTCTTTCATATTAACTTTTTATATTGAAAATTTAGTTTCTTCTAGCTCTCTCTTCCATATATATTTAATTATAGATATTTTTATTTATTTCAAACAATCGTGGCACTATTGCAAAGTACTTTATTTTATACTGTCAGAAATATCAAGCGTTAACATTGTTGCACTGAATCATATCTACATAATTATGTAGTTTTTTATTAAAAAGATTTGGTTTTTATAATGCATGACACTAAAGGATATTTTATAGAGAAATATGCACACAATTTATTGTGTCTGTAAATAACTATTTATTATTTATGAGTATTTTCCATAAGTACTCGTATTTATGTTCTCTGATTATTTTCATTCAACTTCAACAATATTCATTGTTTGTCAGCAATTTATTTCGTAAAATTTAAAAACATTATTAAATAAATAAGTAATTGTGTCTATTGAAAGAAAAATAAAAGAAAACATACATATGTTTTTTTTTGGCATTAATTTTTTGTCGCACAGTAACAGTAGATCAGCATTGCAATTTCTTGTGAAAGTGAAGTTTTTTTTATTTTTCAATTAGAATGAAAAAATATAAAATGGCGCGATAATATTTATGAGGAGATAATAATAATGTGAAAAGAGAAATATTATAATACAACTTAGATACCTACATATGTATGTACAGAGTACAGTACTGGGTTTATACAAAATATATCGCATGTATGCATGTGTGTAACATTATGTATAAGAACATTTTTGTTTTGTTGTTTAATTTTATAAACAAAAATACTTTAAATTTATGGCATTAAAGAATTTTTTTTATACTTTTATCTCTGATATATTTTTTTCACTTCAATAGGAATAATGGAATTAGTTCTAACTTAGAATTTTCACATTTACAATGCAAAGAATTTACAATGCAATACTAAATTCAAAACGTGTAGGCAATATTTTTCAAAAAGACATCACACAATATGCTTTACCGTCATACAACAATAATGAAATTCACAAAAAATAAATTTCCTAATGCACATACCTACGTATAATCTAATAATAAAGACCCCATACAAATATTTAAATATTTTCGAAAACAAAAAAAAATTCCTTATACATTTTTCGTAAATTTTTTAGCTTTTTAATAAATATGGGCTCTTAGTGAAATAACAAATTACATTTAATTAAAATTTTTATTTAATTAAGGTACGTTACGTACCCTTGATACCAATAAATTACTATCAATTAAAATATAAAAACAAAAATCATGATAGAAATTCTATCAGAGAAAGAAAAATCAAATTGCTTCCTACAACAAATAACAACAGCTGCTTTACAATGTATTCCCAGCAAAAGTACGTCATACTTATTGTGTAATAAATATAGTGTTGTGTAAGTAAATCAAATAGTAGAGGAAATAAATGTGTGTTTTAATTTTTAACATTATACATATACGATATTATTTTAATAATGGAAAAGTATTCGTTAAAGAATTTATGGAATTCATGTTATTCTTAAAATTACTATCTAAATTTTATGTTTACCTAATGAAAAATTTCGCTGACATGCTTACATGTATGGTGCAAAGATCTCGACAATGCGTGGAATTTAAATTATTGGTATATTCACAATTTTAAGGAATTCAACACAAATACAATGGAATAAAAATTTTTGCGGTGAAATTTCGTTGAAATTATCAAAATAAAATATGTACAATTATATTATTAGAAAGATATGGGAATTTATTTAGCTTATTCGCTTTATTCTGCTTCTGACTTGCATTGTGTGCTTCTTTCATCTTTTTCATACTCAACTGTGTTATTGTACATATCTAGTTACACTCTTATATTTTGACTTTTAATATTCTAGTATAAGTAATATTGAATCTGTCAGATGATGAGTCAACATTAAAAATATTTCTCCAATTTTTTTTTAGTTAATAAAAAATGAACGTCTATCCATGTAAATCGAGTAAATCGTCTATAATTTTAAATAAAAATTCGATTTATTTCAAAATGAAATAAAAAAACATCAAGTGCAATCTGAATTTTTGACCGTTTTGAAGGATCGTTTGTTGTTTGTTGTTCGACCCAATCAAACAAAATCGTCTTCTAACTGAATCATCTCAATCCTATAATAGGCTTGCAGAAAATTTACTTGTATTTTTAATTTTATCGTATTAAAAATTTTATTTTAGCTTTCAAGTGATTATTTCCCCAAAAAATTTTTGAGGGGAATTTATAAATACATTTATACAAACACACATTCTTCAGATAAATTTGTATTGTATTAACAAAATTTATTGTATATTTTGTTCATTACACAATCACATACAACTACCACTTCACTAAATTTTATTATTTCAAAAGATTTTGCGGTTAAATCGAAAAGAACGTATTGTAAAAGAAATTATTATGATAACCAAGTTTTAATATTTATTTAGCGCTTCCATTTTTATTCTTTTTAACCTTTTTTTTTTCCTTTTTCAACAGTGGAATAAGAAATTTTATTGTGAATGTAATTTTGCAAATGAACTGCTGTTGGAATTCCAAAATAATCTTTTTAGCAATTTCCAAATCACGTTTATTCTCATTTTCGTTCTAATTTCCATTATATTAAGTCTGTCAGGTTTGAGGTGTATCATGTATCCAATAGACTAAAAATTATCGAAAAATTATAAATGTTTCGACACAAAATATAATAAGAGTTATATGGCCAACTCGGCGATTCATTCAACCAATAATATGTATGATATGATAACCATTCACATAATATAACAAGAATCTTCGCAAAAGCAAAAAAAAAAATCGAATTTATACGCATGAGAGTGTATATACACAAACACAACTGCCATTAAAAAACTTTTAT